ATTCCTCAATGAAAATCTATCTCTGAGGCCGGGCAGGGTGGCTCATGCCTACAATCCCGCACTTTGGGAGGCCAAGGTGGGCGGATCACAAGGTCAGGAATTCGAGACCAGCCTGATAAACATGGCGAAACCCCGTCTCTACTAAAAATACAAAAATTAGCCAGGGGTGGTAGCAGGTGTCTGTAGTCCCAGCTACGCAGAGGGCTGAGGCAGGAGAATCACTTGAACCTGGGAGGTGGAGGTTGCAGTGAGCCGAGATCGCATCACTGCACTCCAGCCTAGGCGATATAGTAAGACTCTGTCTCAAAAGAAAAAAAAAATCTATCTCTGGATAAAACTGAAAAGAGATCCCATCTACTACTGGGGAATAAAAAAAAAAAAGAACAAACTAGTAATGTAACTTCAGTAACTGCTGTTCTCTAGAACTACAGCACTGTTAACACAGGCTGCTGGTCCCTTGATTATCTGATCACTGCTTAAAATTCTACCCATCCCCATCCTATTCAGGAAAGCCCACAACATGCAAATGAGTGAGAGTAGCATTAACTTTTTGACACTTTTCTAATACCTAGCCTGAAACACAAACATATTGTACAGCTGTACAAAAGTATTTTCTTTTACTATATTTTATTCTATAAGCTTTTTTCCTATTTTTATTTTTCTTTAATTTCTTTAGAGAAAGGGTCTCACTCTGTTGCCCAGGGTAGAGTGCAATGGCACAATCACTGCTCACTGAAGCCTCAACCTCCCAGGCTCAAGTAATCCTCTCACCTCAGCCTCATGAGTGGCTGGGACTATAGGGATGTGCCACCATGTCCGGTTAATTTTCCTTTTTTTTTTTTTTTTGCAGAGAAAGGATGTCACTCTGTTGCCCTGGCTGTTCTCAAACTCCTGGGCTCAAGGGATCCTCCCGCCTCAGCCTCACGCCTGGGAGTACACCTACTTGGTAGGCTGAGGCAGGAGGATCCCTTGAGCCCAGGAGTTTGAGGCTGCAGTGAGCTGCAATCATGCCTCTGCACTCCAGCCTGGATAACAAAGTGAGACCCTGTCTCACAGAAGTTTAAAAAAACAAAAAACTAGAACACATACACACTAGTGTAAGCCTACACAAGGACAGGATCATCAACATCACTATCTTCCACCTCCACATCTTATGCCACTGAAGGTACTCAGGGGCAGTAGCATGCATGGGGCTGTCCTCTCTTAAGATAACAATGCTTTCTTCTGGAATTCGTCCTGAAAAACCTGTCTTGAGCTTTTTTATAGTCAACTCTTTTTTTTATAAGCAGAAGGAGTACACCTTAAAGTAATGCTAAAAAGTATACTATAGTAAATATATAAGCCAGTAATACAGTGGTTTATTACCAATTTTACGTGACTGGAAATACAGGTTTGCACTAGCATCACCACAAATGTTGTCCTATGACATTAAGTTGGCTATATCACCAAGCGACAGGAATTTTTCAGCTCCATTACAATCTTATGGGGCCACTGTCATATATGCAATCCATCATTGACTAAAACATCATTATGAAGCACATGACTGTACTGTTTTTCTTATACATACATACCTATAGAATTTAATGTAAAATTAGGCACAGTAAGAGATTAACAAAATAGAATGATTACAATGACATACTATAACAAAAGTTATGTGAGTGCGGTCTTTTTTTTTTTTTTTTGAGACGGAGTCTCGCTCTGTCGCCCGGGCTGGAGTGCAGTGGCGCGATCTCGGCTCACTGCAAGCTCCGCCTCCCGGGTTTACGCCATTCTCCTGCCTCAGCCTCCCGAGTAGCTGGGACCACAGGCGCCCGCCACCTCGCCCGGCTAGTTTTTTGTATTTTTTAGTAGAGCCGGGGTTTCACCGTGTTCGCCAGGACGGTCTCGATCTCCTGACCTCGTGATCCGCCCATCTCGGCCTCCCAAAGTGCTGGGATTACAGGCTTGAGCCACCGCGCCCGGCCCGAGTGCGGTCTTTCAAAATATCTTATTATACCGTACTTGCCTATTTTCAGACCTTGGTTGACCTTGGGTAACTGAAACCTTGGAAAGCAAAACTGCAGATAAAGGAGTACTACTGTATAGTGGACTAAGAAGACATACTCATTTGTTTCTTCATTCAGTCAGTCATTTTTTATTCTCATGTTGATTATATCTGAAATTATAACTTGTACATATGTCATTATACAGTCTGCTAAGAACAACAGTGGGCAAATTAGACTTCTGTTTATACTTCTATTGTAAAAATATAACATTTTTCAGGAAGTCAATAAATGGTAATTTAAATGCTTTCAATCAGAATCTTCTAATATGTAACTATTATCCTTAGTAAACTAATGCAGGAACAGAAAACTAAATACTGCATGTTTTCACAAGTGGAAGCTGAACAAGGAAAACACATGGACACATGGTGGGGAGCAACACACACTGGAGCCTGTGGTGGGGGTCCAGGAGGTGGCAGGGGGAGGGAGAGCATCAGGAAGAATAGCTAATGGATGCTGGGCTTAATACCTAGGTGATGGGTTGATCTGTGCTGCAAACCACCATGGCACACGTTTACTCATGTAACAAACCCACACAGCCTGCACATGTACCCCGGAACTTAAAAGTTGAAGAAAAAAAATTTAATACTTTTAACACAATCTTACATGTTCTTTATAAATTTCAGTGTTTTCAAAAAAAAATAACTTCATTGTATCTCCCCCAACCAGAAAAACTGACAGCTCTGTTTATGTAAACACATTTAAAAATGTGTTCTTCATGAAGCTCATACACTAGAGGACACACACAAACATGAATAGAAAGGAATGTGCAAAGTAAATTTTTGAAATAAATCAGGGAGCATACTTTTTGAAGGGATCCAGAGAGTGACTACATCTGAAAACAAGTTCCTTTCACGGTGCAACAGTGACAAGAACGTGAAGACTAGAGAGATACTAATTCAAATTCTAATTTTACCACTCGTTCAGGCCTCCATATCCTCATCTATAAAATAGAAGAAACACCACCTCAGAGTTGCTGTGATGATGTGTATAAAGTGCCTAGCAAATTAAATAGGGATTGCATTTTAGTTCCTTTCACCTTTCATAATGTGGTTTATTAACTGTATATGTTCAGACATTTATACATAACATCTTCTTTAAATAGAGCTCACCTATTGTTATGGATTGAACTATATCCTCCTAAAATTCATATGCTGAAACCATAAATCCCAATGTGACTATATTTGAAGATAGAACCTTTAGGAGATAATTTAGGTTAAATGAAGTCCAAAGAGTCAGACCGTAATTCAACAGGATTGGTGGCCTTTTAAGAAGAGGAAGAAAGAATGAGATTTCTTTTTACCTCTCCACATGTGTACAAGAGGTCATGTGAGCACACGGCGAGAAGCCAGCCACCTACAAGCCAAGAGAACAGGCCTCAGAATGGAACCTAATTTGCTGGCACCTTGATCTTGGAATTCCCAGCCTCCATAATTGTGAGAAGTACACGTCTGTGGTAAGCCACCCAGTGTCTAGTGTTTTGTTAAGGTAACTCGAGTAGACATGATACACCCACAAATTTTTTCTTATCTAAATAAAGAGAATATCACAATTTAAAGAAGAATAGGTAAGGATGACATAAAAAAGGCTGTAAAATATTTTATTTTTCCAGTTTATCTATGACATTTTAAATAATAATATTCAAAATGCCATGGATTTAAATGTGAATGGTTTGATCAATTTTCCACCTGTCCCTGAGAAATCAGTAACTGTTCATTAAGGCTTGGTATTAAACCACTGATTTGGGCCAGGCGTGGTGGCTCAAGCCTGTAATCCCAGCACTTTGGGAGGCTGAGACGGGCGGATCATGAGGTCAGGAGATCGAGACCATCCTGGCTAACCCGGTGAAATCCCGTCTCTACTAAAAAATAAAAAAAACTAGCCGGGCGAGGTGGCGGGCACCTGTAGTCCCAGCAGCTCGGGAGGCTGAGAAAAAAAAATGGCATAAACTCCGGAGGCGGAGTTTGCAGTGAGCTGAGATCCCGCCATGGCACTCTAGCCTGGGCGACAGAGCGAGACTCTGTCTCAAAAAAAAAAAGAAAAAAAACCCACTGATTCACGGAAACTCATACATATCCTAGAACTTTCAAGTATTTAAAAGTATAACAGAACTGCTAAGAAAACCTTTTAAAAAATTTGTAACACCTAACAACCATTTTTTGAAATCTTGAGAAAAATGAATGGTATAATTAAATTTGTTAATTTTCTAAATTATATTCAGTGTTCTCACATTACCCAGCTTAGTGTCCAATACATGGATGAAGTTCAATAAATATTCTGAATAAACACTACAGCCAATAACCTAATGCAAAATGCTCAATCATGACAAATTTGTTTCAAGGATAACTGCGAGACATGGTAAGGAATTGCAAAAATTCTGAAACACTGATTCTTTAAAAATGATCTTTTAAGTTAACTTTCAAGAAGTATAAGTAATTCTACATTTTTCTTTTGAAGAGATAACAGACAACATAAACTAAAAATCTACTTGCCTAAATTGTTTATATGAGCTTTGGGAATATATTGATGGTTACAGACAATTCAGTGAAACTTAGAGGCAACCACACAATCACGAGTATCTGTAAGTATTCAGTTTTCACACCGAACAGGGCTACGGCCTGTCAGACACCCAGCAAGAGTAAGGAGAAGTCCCTTGTTTATTATGAAAAACTCATATAGGATGTTTTATTTATAGATACACAGTTAACTATGTACAAAATAAAAAAAGGAAAACCAATCTACTAAAATATATTAACTCTAAATAAGAAAATCAGATCTTACTCCTGTTTTTCCATACTAGGCATAATTATTTTCAAAGTTATACAATACGAAGTTTATCAGTCTTATCTGTTTGCCCTATCATTACGAATTTTCTCTTTTAAAAATGGCAATAACAAGTGACGTATGTTCTAATAAAATTTGGATCATAGCTAGCAAATGAAAGGCTATGAGACTCAATCACTTTTAATCATTATTAAGTTTATGTTAGTCTTTATTAAAAACAAAAAATAATTAAAATTTCAGACAGCAATGTACATAATATATATAAGAATATACCCAAAAAAGTACACTTATACCACCCTAGCACAGCAGAAATTTCAATGGGTTATTCTATACCAAATCCAAGTGTTTACATCCAAGATGTCACAGAGGTAACTTCCTTTTGTACCTAAAGTAAAAATAAATCCATTTAACATAAGACAAGAAGACACAGGTTCATTTGTAAATTGCCTAACAGCCTTAGTTAGAATTAAAATTCTAACGTAAGACATATATATATTGTAAACCAAAATAAATTGGTTGGCATATGGAGCAAGTAATATCTATGTTCTAGACATGAGAAAAAAAGGCAATATTTAATGACAGACCTTATGAAGTCTCAAACATAGCTAAAGGTTTCCTGTTGTTGATTCCCACGAAAATTAAAGATATAAAGTCTGTAACTGCCACTCTGTTTTAACATGCACTTAATATCATAACTTGAAATTTTTTTTTTTTTTGAGATAGAGTCTCGCTCTGTCACCCAGGCTGGAGTCCAATGGCGCGATCTCGGCTCACTGCAACCTCCGCCTCCTGGGTTCAAGCAATTCTCCCGCGTCAGCCTCCCGAGTAGCTGGTATTACAGGCACCTGCCACCATGCCCGGCTAATTTTTTGTATTTTTAGTAGAGACGGGGTTTCACTGTGTTAGCCAGGATGGTCTTGATCTTCTGACCTCATGATCCCCCTGCCTCAGCCTCCCAAAGTGCTGGGATTACAAGCGTAAGACACGCGCCTGGCCAACTTGAAAGTTTATAATAAGTAAATAGCACAAATCTGGTTTCCTCTACTCTGCAAAAGTGACACTTCATTGCAATACCACAGCACTGAACAATAGTTGTTTCATCCAACCAAAAGGATTAGTCAAAAAATAAGACAGAAAATAATGACTTGAAACTTTGCTCAAAACTCAAAATCCTCAAGATTCAACATAATAATAATATGATCGTGTTCTAATTTTAGTTCATTTTGTGCTTGGGTTTATATAAAAATTGCTTCAAAAATACTCCAGTTTCTTACACAGCATACAATGGTGCAGATGACAACACTGAGCTTGGCCTATTCTAGTGCTAGGACTCAAACTCACTTCTCCTGGAAAGACTGTATAGGGTCCCTATCTGCTTGTAATTAAAAAGGGATGAAGTCAAAGCAGAAGCTATTCAATAGCTGTCCCCCACATTTGTTTGGGCATATTTAATAAAGAAAATATAAAAGGCAACTTGCTGAGGTTAATTTTTTAAAGAGTCACAGAGAACAGAGACAAGGGTTTTCTTACATTTATGTCCCTAATTAAAATAAATGTCAGCATACCATTAAGAAAATAATGAATAAAATTACTGCTTTTCAGTTACCTTATTGAGCTCTGGAAACAGTTCCTGTATCACAATGTCCAATAAAACATAAGTCAGCTAAAGCACCAAAAAAAGAATAATAATAAATGTTAAGGCACTAAACATAAAAACCATAAAAATGATAAACACAAAATTAAAGATTGTGGTTACTTCTAAGTGGGAAGGCAAGAAATGGGACTGATAATATAAAACAAGCACAAAAATAGCCTCGGTAGTATCAATATTGTTCTATTTCCAAAATAGGTAATAAGTACACATGTGTTTGCATAAGGACACTCCACTATGCCTCATTAATTCATTTTTATGTTAAATATTTTAATTTTTAGAAAAACAAAAACACAAAATTACAATGTATCAAGATCTCAACAGAATATATAAAGCTTATATATAGTTTACATAAACCATAAACATAAAAATATTAACTGGTTATTCTATGTGACTTGAACAATGGGATTATCAATTTTTAATTTTTTACTGTATTTCATGAATTTTCTATTCCAAATTTTCTACAATTACTATATATTAATTTTAAATCAAAATAATTCATCTTATTAAGAAAAAAACTGACATAAAAAGAGTAACACACATAAAACTTCTTTTCTATCTGAACGTTTAAAAAAAAAATGTCTTGGTTTAGTATATTGTCATTTATACAGCTAATAAGTTACCAGACACCTTACTATGTCATTCACCAAACCTAGCCAACACGAGTTTATCAGCTTTAATGTGCTTTACCTGCTTGTTGAGTACTGGCTGCTGTAAGCCATCAAACAGAAGTCTGATGCTTTCATACTTGGTTTCTTCACCAATACACTTGACTAACAGATCTAAACAAAAAGGCCACATGTGAAATAATTTTATATTATAAAATGACTCACCATTAACTGGATCATAAAGCAAAATCACCACCCTGTTTCCCAGATATTAGGCAAAAACTGCAAATCAGTACTCCCCAAATCAGTGTGTCTATAAGAGGCTCCTGGACAAGAGGTTTTTAGGGTCACGTTGACACATGCAGTATCATGTATCCCACTTTTGGAGATTCACAATGCACAATGCATAATGCAAGCTCCGAGAAATGCTGGAGTTAAAAAAAAACCTGCTAATTGGAAAATAATACTTACTGTATTACCCCACTAAGGGCAAACAAAACAAATTAAACCCAAAAATGATGTTTGCACATCTGTACACACGTATAGAAATGCATGGAAAAATGTAAAGATTAACACCCAGTGGAGGATAAGCCGACTTCTACACAGTGGGCAGAGGATGGCTTCTACTTTTTATTCTATATATTTTCATAGTGCTCTTAATATCAGAAAAAAGAAGTTTAATTTTTAAGGCAGACTTTTCTCAGTGAATATGAACACCTAATTTCTGGACTTTTGCATAAGTTACTATTAACTATCTTACAGACCAATCATTTTAGGAAATATAACAAATATTTAAACACTTATTTAGGGTCCAACAAGTACAGATTTGTGTCTGGCTGTATAGATGTCACCCACCACTAATATCCATTCTGTTACCAAGTCAATCCTTATTAAGATCTCCACTGAATGTTTTCCCCAAGCAGAAAAAAAAAAGAAGTTATTCTTATATAAACAAGGTACTCAAATATTTATCCTTTTCCCCTATCATAACTAAACGCCTAGTGTTAGTCATAAAATATTCTAATGCTAGGAGACAAGGCCAAATTTAATTTACAATAGGCATAGTATATCCTTGGTATTTTCAAAATATGTGGCCCAATACAAATCTTTGTTAATCCTCAAACTCACCAATACTACATGGAATTTCACAATTAATATGCATGAAACTAATGAACACAGACACGTGATTCCTTCAGATACTTCAGGTGTCACTAAGCAAGAGATGAGGAGCAGAGAATCTTACAGAAAGGAATGCTAAGCTTACTTAAGAGCTAAGTTACTCTCCCAAACAGGAGTCTTAAAGTGAATGTGGTTTGAATTTGTGCCTCAGCAAAATAACAAATCACTATATTCTCTGGTTCTCCATGTTGTTTCTGAGTATCAAAGCTGAGACTGTTAAAAGTATGAACACTAAGGGTCACTATATCAGAAAACAGGTAAAAAAAAATTCTTTCATCATTTGCCTACAGAAAATTTACTAAAAACAGCTTACTTTCACTTTTATATTCAGAGCAGACATTTAAGTTAATTATTTTCACAAGGAACAGAACTATTCTAAGGCTAGTTCTTCAATATTAAGAATTCTCTAAGGTTCTATCCTAAGCTCTCCTCTCTTTTTTTTTTTTTTTGAGACGGAGTCTCGCTCTGTAGCCCGGGCTGGAGTGCAGTGGCCCGATCTCAGCACACTGCAAGCTCCGCCTCCCGGGTTTATGCCATTCTCCTGCCTCAGCCTCCCGAGTAGCTGGGACTACAGGCGCCCGCCACCTCGCCCGGCTAGTTTTTTGTATTTTTTTAGTAGAGACAGGGTTTCACGGTGTTCGCCAGGATGGTCTCGATCTCCTGACCTCTTTTTTTGCCCGTCTCGGCCTCCCAAAGTGCTGGGATTACAGGCTTGAGCCACCGCGCCCGGCCTCCTCTTCTCTTTTTAAAATAGACTTTTTAAAAAGTAGTTTTGTGTTCACAGTGAAACTGAGCAGAAGGAAGAGATTTCGCATATGTTCCCCGTCCCAAAACATGCTGTCTCCCACACTATCGACATCCCCAACAAGAGTGCACATTTGTTACAACTGATGAACACACATTGGTACATCATTATTACCCAGAATCCATAATTTACATTGGAGTTCGTTCCTGGTGTTGGACATTCTGTGGGTTTGGACAAATAGATAATGATATGTAATCACCATTATAGTTTCATTGCCCTAAAAAATCCTCTGTGCTCTGCCTATTCATCCCTCCCTCCCCTCCAATCCACTGTCTTCTTAGTTTTGCCTTTTCCAAAATATCAGATAGCTGAAATTATACAGTATGCAGTCTTTTCAGATTGGCTTCTTTCTCTTAGTAAGATGAATTTCAGGCTCCTCCATGACTTTTCATGATGTGACAGCTCATTTCTTTATAGCACTGAATAATATCCCATTGTCTAGAAGTATGAGTTTATTTATCCATTCACCTAAATAAAGAACACCTTGGTTGCTTCCAAATTCTGGCAATTTTGAAGTTGCTATAAACAATCATGTGCAGGTTTCTGGGTGGACATGTTTTCAACTGCTTTGGGTAAATATCAAGAAAGATAATTGCCAGATCTCATGGTAAGAGTGTGCTTAGTTTTGTAAGAAACTGCTCACCTGTCTTCCAAAGTGACTGTACCATTTTGTATGTCCACCAGCAATGAATGAGAATTCCACGTCTTCACCAGCAAATGGTGGTGTTGGTGTTCTGAATCTGGGCCATTCTAACAGGTGTGTGGTGGTATCTCATGGTTTTAAATGTGCATTTCCTTGATGACATATGATGTAGAGCATCTTTTCATATGCTTATGTGTAATCTTCTTTGGTGAGGTGTCAAGATATTTGGCCAATTTTAAAATCAGGTTGTGTTCTTATTGTTGAGTTTCAGGATTTCTTTGTACATTTTTGGTAACAGTCCTTTATCTGATATGTCTTTTGCAAGTATTTTCTCCCAGTCTGTGGCTTCTCTTTTCATTCTCTTTATAGTGTCTTTCACAAAGCAAAATTTTTAATTTTAATGAAGTAAGGATTATCAATTATTTCTTCCACGGTTCATGTCTTTGGTGTTGCAACTAAGAAGTCATTGCTAAACAGAAGGTCATCTACATTTTCTCCTTGTTATCCTCTAAGTTTTACAGTTTTGCTTTTTACAGTTAGGTCTAAAATTGATTTGTTTGTTTTTGAGACGGAGTTACGCTGTCACCCAGGCTGGAGTGCAATGGTGCTATCTCAGCTCACTACAACCCCTGCCTCCCAGGTTCAAGCAATTCTCCTGCCTCAGCTTCCTGAGTGGCTGGGATTACAGGTGCCCGCCACCATGCCTGGCTAATTTTTGTAGTTTTAGTAGAGATGGGGTTTCACCATCCTGGCCAGACTGGTCTCGAACTCCTGACCTCTGGTGATCCACACACCTCAGACTCCCAAAGTGCTGGGATTACAGGCGTGAGCCACCGTGCCCGGCCTATAATTGATTTTGAGTTTAGTTTTTGTGAAGAGTGTAAGGTCTGTGTTTAGACTTTTTTTTTTCTTGCATGTGGATGTCCAGTTGTTCCAGCACCATTTGTTGAAAAGACTAACTTTTCTTCATTACTTTTCTTCATTGTATTGCCTTTGCAACTTTGTCAAAGATCAGTTAACATTATTTATGTGGGTCTATATCTGGGCTCTCTATTCAGTTCCATCCATTCATTTGTCTGTTCTTTTGCTAATATCACACTTTCTTGATCACTGTAGCTTTATAGTATGTCTTGAAGAAAAGTAGTGTCAATCCTGTGACTTTGTTGTTCTCAATCAAAATTGAGTTGGCTATTCTGGGTCTTTTTGCCTCTCCATATAAACTTTAAAATGTTTGTCAATACCCACAAAATAACTTCCTGGGATTTGGACTGGGACTGCATTGAATCTATAGATGAAGTTCAAAGAACCGACATCTTGAAAGAAACAGTCTTCCTATCCACAAACATAAAGTATCTCTCCATTTAGTTCTTTGATTTAATTAAAGTTTTACAATTTTTCTCATATAAATCTTGTGCATGTTTTGTTAGATTATTACCCAAGTATTTCACTTTTCGAGGTGCTAATGCAAATGGTATTTTTTTTTTTAATTTCAAATACCATTTGCTCATTGATGATATACAGGAAAAGTAATTGAATTTTGTGTATTATTACTTATTATTTGCAGAAGTGTTTTGGTCAATTTTTGGATATTCTACATAGACAATCATGTCATCTGTGAACAAAGATAGTTTTATTTCTTTCTTCCCAATCAGTATGCTCTTTATTTCCTTTTCTGTGTCTTACTGCACTAACTAGGACTTCCAGTACAATGTTGAAAAGCAGTAGTCAGAGCATGCCTTGCTCCTCATCTTAGTGAGATAGCTTTTAAGTTTTTCATCAAGTGTGATGTTAGCTATAGGTGTTTTTGTAGATATTCTTTATCAAGTTGAGGATGTTCCCCTCTATTCCTAGTTTGCTGATATCATAAGTGGGTGTTAGATTTTCTCAAATGCTTTTTCTGCATCTACTGTTATGATCATGATTTTTCTTCTTTAGCCTGCTGATGTGATGGACTACCTTAATTGACTTTTGAATGAATGCTAAACCAGCCTTGAATACCTGGGATAAATCCTACTTGGTATATAATTCTAACATCACTGCCATATCTGACTCTGGTTTTGATACTTGCTCTTTCTTGTCAAACTGTATTTTCTTGCCTTTAATATGTCTTGTAACTTTTTTATGATAGCTGGACATGACGCACAAGTTAAGCGGAACTGCTGCAAACAGGCCTTTAGTAATGTGGTGATAAAATATAGAGGGAGAGGAAGGGTTCTATAGTCCTAAGAAGGGGTCTCAATCTTTTAGTGAACCTGTACCACTGAACTGTGAACTTCACACATGCTTCTCAGGTCTCCCGGTCCCCCTTGCATAGGACAAGATGGCTAGAGTGGATTGGAGTTGGGTATTTCCCTTCTTCCATGTGGAAAGCCAGGGCTAGAGTTGGTTATTTCCCTTCCCTCAGGTCAGTCAGGCACTGGTTAAATAGCTTCTCCTGAGGGTAGGGCCTTGTCAAGAACAGAGTGCCCTGACTAATGTATTTCAAAATGGTTCCCTTCTAGCCCCCCTGCCAGAAGCACCTGGGGATTTTTCTCCAATATTCACTGTGGGATCTTGGTCAAGGCCCTGGAGGTAAAACTCACAAAAAAAGTGTGGATGGGCTGGGCACGGTGGCTCACGCCTGTAATCCCAGCACTTTGGAAGGCCGAGGCAGGTGGATCACCTGAGGTTAGAGTTCAAGACCAGCCTGATCAACAAGGTGAAACCCCATCTCTACTAAAAATACAAAAATTAGCTAGGCGTGGTGGCGTGGGACTCTAGTCCCAGCTACTCAGGAGGCTGAGACAGGAGAATTGCTTGAACCCAGGAGGCGGAGGTTGCAGTGAGCCAAGATCATGCCACTTCACTCTAGCCTTAGCAACAGAGCGGGACTCCGTATCAAAAAAAAAAAAAAAATGTGGATGGGTAATCCCATGACATGATCCCCTGGAGTTTTTAATCAAAAAAAAAAAAAAAAAAAAGGCTGTAGCAATTTGTCAGTTATACTTCAAGTTTCCCTAGCTCAGCCCTGGCTTCTCCAGGGGTTTTGAGTTCACGGGTTTCTCTGCTCCAGCTAGCTATGATTCTCTCCAATCTGGGGGGCAGTGGTTTGCCATATGACCTCACTCTCTGGTGAATCTAAAAGCTGCTTAGTTTTTTTAGTGCATTCAGCTTTTTGCTTGTTACTAGGATGGAGTGATGACGGCCAGGTTCTTATGTGCCAGACCAGAAACTGGAAATCACCCTTTTCTCTTCTTACTCCATACTTTCTCCCTGTGCTTTATTATCTAATCACACATGGCTCCCATATCTCTACTAATCTATCCTATACCACCTTTTCTCCAACTTTTGAACCTCGATGTCTAAGTGCTTAACAGACACTTCCTCCTGAGTAATTTATAGGCACCTCTCATTCAAAATGTTCTAAACTAAGAATCATCTGCTTTGACCCCTTGACATTTCTTCCTTGTTATTTCCCATCACAGTAAGAGGTTACTACCATTCATTTCCTTAGTGTCCCAAACCTACCAACTTTACAGAAGAGGTGGCCATCCTCCTCCTTTGTGATATTTCTGTAACTTGAAAATGCCTCTATTATCACATGTATGTTTTGTCTATATGCCTGTCTTCCTCTAGACTGAGCTACTCAAGTACATTTTTTATATCCCTTGCATTTTGCATAATGCCTGGAATATGGTAGGTGCTCAATAAATTCACAATGCATGAATTCTGATCTTTTAGTCATACACACTAGTGAGCTATTCTTATGGTGTAGTGGACACAGGCTTTCAATGGTCCCACAACATGTCACTTTGACCAGTCTGACTATAAGTTATTTTTGAATGAATCTGGCTACTATGTGAGTAGCAACAGCCTTGCCTTAAAGTCCTAACATCTCAGTCTCAGTGATAACATCTGAAAGAATTATTTAACTAGTGTGTTAAGTTTAACTGATCTTTGCAACTATTTGTAAAATGAAAACTCACAGTAAAAATTAGCTTCAATAATTACTATACATTGTGACCTCAAAAGACGGCTTATCTATATGAAATTAAGTTACTTCTTAAATATTACACCTGGAATGTAATTCATCATTTCTTCAAAAGTCTGTTTTGCTCCTTTTTGCTTATCTTGGAGAGAACGAGGTTCAGTGTTTTCACAGAATATAGCATCTAAAAAAGAGTAAAAAGAAGTATTTCTGGAATTTTCATCTACTTATACAAAAAGGATTTCCTCATAGTAGAAGTACTAATAAACCAAAGCAAAACAAGATTTCTTCCCCTTTTAGATTCAATTAAAATTACAGAGTACACAAAATATGAAACAAACACATGAGAAAATACAAACCTCTGAGAAGTGTTATGAGTGAGACCAAACGGTGCTCCTGAAATAGCTGTTCTAGTTTACACTGAAGATAGTAGTCAGTATACATTTCCAGGGTGTTTTTAAAGAGGATTCGAGTTCCCATTAAGAGATGATGAAGCCAGTCAGGAACCTGGAAAACTACCCGTCCTGAGAAAGGATCAAATGGGATACCTCATTGTTCCAGATAAATTGGTATTTTTGAAAATTTGCCAATGTAGAAAACACAGATGACCATGGTCTATCTTTTATTTGTAAACACTAGCAACTTTAATATGATCAAGGACAATTGTATTGAATTATTATGAAAGGTATCTTCAATTAAAAAAACAGTTATGACGGGGCAATACTCAAGAACATTATTTGCATCACAGAAGTAAGATGAATGAAAAACAAGTCTTAAACCACTTAGATCTTACCTACATACATCAGGTAATCATAGACTCCTTCTACAGTCATCACCTCCATAAAATAATTCTGATTTTGCTTTCTCTCTGTATTTTCAGCACGGTTTGCATTATTTTTAAACAGATCATTGAAAAGCTAAAATAAAAGTTGGAATAATAAAAAGATATGTAGTTTATTACATCTGCTGACAATAATCAATAAGGATGAAGTGACACACAGCAAAGGCATTTAAACCTTTTCCAATCAAAACAGAATATTAGATAGGTTAATATATGTTTCTAAAATTCCCCATTTATGCCCCAAATTGCAATAAAAAATACATGTTCCCCAAAAATATTACATAAAAACTAAAATATTCATTTTAGTTACAGTCCATAATTCATCATCCATAAAAGACCCCTCCTTTGTTTTTATATACCACAAAAGTTAACATAAAAAGATGTACAAATATATTATTGATAGCTAACTTTAAAACTAATGATTTAGGCCAGGCGCAGTGGCTCACATCTATAATCTCAGCACTTTGGAAGGCCGAGGCAGGCAGATCACCTGAGGTCATGAGTTTGAGATCGGCCTGGTCAACATAGTGAAACCCCATCTCTACTAAAAATACAAAAAAATTAGCCAGGTGTAGTGGTGCGTGCCTGTAGTCCCAGCTACTTGGGAGGCTGAGGCAGGAGAATAGCTTGAACCTGGGAAGCAGAGGTTACAGTGAGCCAAAATCATGCCACTGCACTCCAGCCTGGGTGATAGAGCAAGACCGTCAAAAAAAAAAAAAAAAAAAAAACCACTAACATGATTTAAAGATTATAAATCACTATGAGTAGAGGTAAAAATCCAGCTTCAGATGAAATTTATCTGGACAATATTCAAAGCCCAGAAAGGTCTAATCAATGTGTGGCAGCAGGGGAACCAAGATATTAAGAATTAATGGTTGCAGTGAGCCAGAAATTGCACCACTGCACTCCAGCCTGGGTGACAGAGTGAGGCTCTGTGGGGGGAAAAAAAAAAAAAAAAGTGGGGAGGGGAGCAGAAGGGAGGGGAGAGGAGAGGTAAGGAGACTGTGGAGGAAAGTGTATTCACTTTTACCTGAAGATGAATTTTTTTAAAAGCCTCCTAGAAAAGTATCCTGAGAACAAAGACCATATATTCTATTGGCTCTTATGTCAGATATTATTAACGCTGAGGCGTAAACTTAAAACATTTTTCCACAACCCAAAAAATAGGAAAAGGGCTCTCTCTTCTGATAAATTATTCCCTCTACTCTTTTAAATTTTCAGTTTAATTTTTTTCATTGAAAAACAGTGATATTATACAGTAAGTCTGGAAAAGAGAGGAGAAAAACAACTCAATTTTGTTTTCCCTCTGTATTTTCAGCACGGTTTGCATTATTTTTAAACAGAAATCTAAAATAAAAGTTGGAATAATAAAGAGATATATAGTTTATTACATCTGTTGACAATAATCACTAAGGTTAAATAAAGTGACACAGAGCAAAGAGGAATTTAAACCTTTAAATTAAAACTCAACCACCTAATAGCATTACTATTAAACTTTTGTATATTAACTTGTACTCTCTATGTACATAGCCACAAATCAATGAGGTTCAAAAAATAGCACATCCTACTTTTTCACTTAGCACCGTATCAAATGTCTTTATGTTGCTTTATAGTTTTCATAAGCACAATTTCATCTGTTGCAAAACATTCCTTGAATGGATTTTCCTTAAAATAATCATTCCTACAATGTTAGAATTTCATGTTGTTTCCAATTTTTCACTTACGTAAACGATATTTTAATAAACACCTTTACATGTTATAAGCTCTTCTCTTATTTTTCTCCCTGACAAATTCCTAGCATTCAGGTCAGGAGGTCAAAGAACATAAACACCTGATTTATTCTGTTACATAGTATCGATTTATTTCCCAAAAGATTGGGCCCATTTATTAGTCACCAGGAAAGCAAATATCCAGTTTGACCAAACTCATAAATCATTTTGCAAACATATTCCCTATGTACTAAAATTCACACTCCAATATAATTCTTCTTTCCCTATGTTCAGCCTGGTTAATCCTCTGAAATCATACCCATTAGGTCTTTCATATTTCATCTTTCACAAAAGTATGCATATATAGTGAAGGCCATCTAAAAAAGAATTTCATAAGAATCTCTCACATCTTTTCAAGCAGTTTTGAATATCAATCTCAATAATCCTGAGGGAGAAGACAAATATTACTAAGACTGATGAACTATACTATGCCTGTTTCTTAGGAGACAGAGCTATTACTGAGGAGGGCTGAAGACTTTCTCTAAGAGACACTTAAGATGCCTGAGCAGAGGAGAGGAAAGAATTAGGGCTCATATCTCAATTTCTCCTCTTGAACATTTTAACATTTTTATTTTATAATGACATTTAATTGAATTTTCATGCTCAATAAAGATAAACGTAACGATCAAGGAAAGCAAAATTGGCATTAATATTGACAAACCACAAACAAAATCAACGTAAGCCAAGTTTTCAGCCACTATATTCTTCAGAGCACTAGATAGGTTATCTTCTCCTGCTCTTCCCGATCTGCGTGTGCATTTACTATTCAAGAATCTTAAGTACCAACCAGGGTTTTATAATGCAATGAATCTGTTTTGCTGGAAAACATCTGCAGCTAATAGTAAACCATTATTTAAAATCATAGTAGACCTGGGGGGAATATCAAACAAATTCTAAAAATATGAAACACAGTAACAATTTTTTTTAGGTTTAGATATGTTTATGCAGAAGATCAGACAACACTGAAGAGGCAGAGATGTTTTTTTTATCAGAAAAAGTTAACATAGACCACCAAAAAGTAGTGAAAATGAAGACAGAAAATATGGAGGAAGGCTTAAGAGATATGGAAAACAGAATGATAACTAAATGAAAACAGAACAACTAAAACAGAAGGAGATAAGAGAGGGAATAGAGAGAAGGCAATATCTAAAGAACAATAGCTGAGAATTTTTCAAAACTGGTAAACTGAAGTAGACTGTTAAAGTAACAGCCCCCAGTGATCAAGCTTCTCTATAGCCAAACTCTTATACAGTCCCCTCCCACATCAACTCTGGGCTTGGCTACATGAGTTGCTTTGGGACAAATGTTGAGCAAAATGTTCAACGGAGTCCTGGAAAGTTGTGTGTTGGGGTGAGCCCTCTTAGAATGCTGGTACCATGAGAGCCCAGAATTGCTTGCTGAAGACACATTGCCCAGTCAACAGGAAACATACACAGTCAGACATGTGAATGAGGCCACCTTTGGCCATCCAATTCAAGAAGCTCTAAGACTGCAGCCCAAGTGAGACCAGAAGTACAATGCAGCTAAGCTAAGTCCAAACTGCTGACCCACAGAATCATGAGCAAATAAGAGAGTCGTTTTAAATCATTCACTTTTGGAGTGGTTTGTAACACAACAATGTTTAAGTGATTTGTACCTAAAAGTAGTGTGTTGCCATATTAACATAAACCTAAAATACATGGTATTAGCTTTGGAAGCTAGGAGTAGGTGGAGGCTGGATAAATGGCAGGAGTCTGTAGTAAAACTTGGAAAAAATGACAAGCTGTTAGTCAAATCAGAAAGCAATGAGGTCGCTGTTCTTGGAAATGGAAACTTACATCACATGGAATGTATTCTTTGACCACAATGTAATTAAACTAGGATCAATAACAACAATAAAGGAACAATCTGAAAATTCAAGAATGTAAACTAAAAAAAAAAAAAAAAAAATTATAAATAACCCAGAGGTCAAAGAAGGGATCATAATAAAACATTCTGAACTGAATAACAAAAAAACCACACATTAAAATTTACAAGTCAGTGTTTAAACAGATTTAAAGAAAAATGTACACATTTTAGTGCTTACATTAGAAAAGAAAGGCTAAGTTAAGCATTAGTTTCGCCACAAGAAGTTAAAACTGTAATACAAACAAAAGCCCAAAGAAATACAAAGAATTTTTCAAAATAACAGAAATAAAGGTAATTTTAAAAGTCTGACAGAAAAGCTCAATAAAGCCAAAAGATAAAATGTCGAGAACAAAGAGACATAGCTACAGATGTCAGAAACAATGACAAGACAACATTATTGACAACTTCACACCAATAACCTTACAAACTTAAAGTACAAAATTTGTCAAAAAATATAACCTATTGAAACTGACTCATGAGGTAATAAACCTGAAGAATTTTATAATTGTTAAAGAAATTAAATTGGTTATAAAAAATTTTCCTACAAACAAAACTGCAGGCCTAGATGACTTTACCAACTCTTATCAAATATTTATAAAAAGTCTACCAAAAATAAAAAACGCTAATAAAACTTTGATACCAAAACCTAACAAGGACAGAATGAGAAAGAAAAATTATAGGCTATTTCTACCCATAAACATGAATGTAAACTTCCTTAATTTTTTTTTTTTTTTTTTGAGACAGTCTTGCTCTGTCGCCCAGACTGGAGTGCAGTGGTGCTTTTTTTTTTTTTTTTTTCCTCCACCTCCTGGGTTCAAGCGACTCTCCTGCCTCAGCCTCCCGAGTAGCTAGGATTACAGGCACCCACCACCACATCTGGCTAATTTTTGTATTTTCAGTAGAGGCAGGGTTTCACCATGGTGGCCAGGCTGGTCTCGAACTCCTGACCTCAAGTGATCCATCCACCTCGGCTCCCAAAGTGCTAGGATTACAGGTGTGAGCCACAGCACCCGGTAGCTTCCTTAATCTTATAAAGGTTATCTATTAATACAAAAAGAGCTACACTATACTATTCAATGGTGAAATAATTAAACAATTTCCTTTGTATAGAGCAGTCCTAGTCAGGAATCAAACAAAACTGCAATCATTTGTGACAACTGTGTAAATATAAAAGAATTACCAGATATTACTAAAACTAATTTTAAGTCTAGCAAGATTACGAAATAAAAATATTTCCATCTATATATACAAGAAAGTTATAAAAATGAAAATATTAATAATATTAAAGATACTATTCAAAGTATCAACAAAAATAAGGATGGAGGTCCTCTGAGCTCCCATAGCTCCCCATGCTGGCACTACACCTTGGCATTAAACAGCTTCTTGAGGACAAGGAATGTATCTTTATATTCCCAGTGCCTAGCACTCAATAGTAGGCATGTAATAAAATGTTTGTTTAATGAATGGATAAAATACCTTATAAGCCATGAAAATTAGGTAATGCCATCCAATAAACATAAACACAGTATAGCAATTAATTATTATTGAAAGTTGGTGACATATAACCTAAGAAAACCACTTTTAAAAATCCCCAAACACAGAAGTAGCATAAGTTTGCAAATACAGTATCCAAAGAAACATTTACCATATTAAAGCAAAGAACCAAGTAAGTATACACAATACCTTCTGTTTACTGTGCAACTGATTTCCACATAAAGGAAATGTATAGCTCAATCTATTTCATTAACAAAGTATTCATTCTCCTGATAATGAAAAAGTCATCTCTAGTAGGGCAATTTAAAACTTAATGGTTCTTTAATGCAATGTGCAGTACCTTCTTGTTGTTTTCTGAAGTAGGGCTGAGAATGGTCAGTTCTGGTCTACTTGGTTTAGGCTTTGGAGATTCACATGAATTAATAAAATTCATGATAAAAGGTTCCAAATGCTGACCTTTCTGTGGTGACAGATTATTGTAAGAAAATAAAAAATAATTTTTAGTATATAATCCATCAAAATTTATCAATATTTAAATATGTTTATGATTATGTTATAGAACACACATAAATCAGTTATTCACCTCTTTCATTAGTTTTCCAGGAACAGATTTTATAATTTTCCCTGCAATTAAAAGTAAAACATTATTTTAGGAAGTCATAAAACTCTTCATAATTGCTCATATGAATACTTTACCAGGTAATTTTAAATACGAAATAGCCAAATTAAAACTGTAAAAAGTATTTATGATTGACCATTTCACACTCTATGGAAATTTCAACAAATATGGTATTCTGAAATATTTATAGATACAATATTTGGGATTTACTCTAAAATGATCCAGTGAGGTAGGTGGTGGGAGAAGGGATGGAATAAGCCAAGGGTTGATAACAAAATTGAGTGAGAAGTTTATTACATAATTTTGTCTACTTTTGTGAAAATTTCCATAAGAAATATTTTCAAAGGATTTTCAGTAACAGTGAATATATAATGGTATCTAAAGATATGCAAAGGCCAGTCAAAAAAAAGTTTTAAGAATTGCCTCAATATTTAAAACTATTTCAGTAGTTTATATTCTGAAAAAAAAAATAAGAATTTCTATTCTAAATCCTATATTTGCCAAAATTACTTCTTGATCTCCAGGTTCCCTTACTGTAAAACATCAAATATCTTGAGATTTTCTCCAGCATTTAGAAATGACTGTTAAAAATCAATCAAAACTGATAAATACAACTTAAACTGCTTTCCAAATAAATTGGAAAAAAGTAGATTTATGGCAACAGAAAGGGACATTAATAATAAAGAATAAAAATACTGTTTTGTGACAGGCAAACCACCCAACCTTCCCACTTGGCTATTTCTAGTATTTCTGGTTCTCATAACACCTCCTCCTTAGAATGCTCCCAAGTTCCTTAAATTATATGATTTCATCCTATGCTTTTTTGTCTTCTATGTGTTCTTACTGAGCCAAATTATTTGCTCAATCTGATTTCAAATAAAATTCAAATCTTTAATCCCTGCCTGTCTCCTGGACTCTCCTACTTTATAAAACTTCAACTGGATTCTATAAACTCAGTAAGTTCAAAGCTACTGTTAATGTAGCCCCTATTCCAACAAGTAACAGCATTCATCCAGTTATTTAAATAGAAACTTGGATCATCCTTGATCATTTCTTCTTCAATCAAACCTAGTCAGTAATCAGGAATATCCAAATCTCCTAGACACCATATATAACCAAATATTTTGTCCTCACTTTTTTCCCCTAATAAAAAGATACACACACACTAAATATTTTGACTTAAATAAATGTATTGATTTGGGGTGGGGGGGGGTGGGTATAGACAGAAGCCAAATGTCCCCCTGCACTATTTAATTCACTGATTTAGTTCCACATACATTACTTCAGATTACATCATATAAAATATATTTAGAGGCTAGGCAAGGTGGCTCCATGCCTGTAAGCCCAGTAATTGGGGAACCCAAGGTGGGAGGATCAATTGAGGAGAGGAGTTCAAGATCAGCTTGGGCAACATAGCGAGATCCCACCTCTACAGATATTTAAAAATTAGCCAGGTGTGCTGGTGTGTACCTGTAGTCTTAGCTACTTTGGGAGGCTGAGGCAGGAAGGATCACTTGAGCCCAGGATTTGAGGTTGCAGTGAACTATGATTGTGCCACTGCACTCCAGCCTGGGCAACAGTGTGCGACTCTGTCTCAAAAAAAACATAATGAATAAAAAATAAAATATATTTAGAAATATTGTTTTTATACTGTAGCAATAGTAGTAGCAGTAGTATTAGAGACATAGTCTCACCCTGTCACCCAGGCTGGAGTGCAAGTGGCATGATCTCGGCTCCCTCCACTTGCCAGTTTCAAGCAGTTTTCCTGCCTAGACCACCCAAGTAGCTGGGATTATAGGTGCACGCCACCAAGCCCAGTCAATTTTTGTATTTTTAGTAGAGACAAGGCTTCACCATGTTGGCCAGGCTGGTCTTGAACTCCTGACCTCAAGTGATCCACCCACCTCGGCCTCCTAAAGTGCTGGGATTACAGGTGTGAGCCACTGCACCTAGCCAATGCTATATTATTTTTTAACTTTTTTTGTTTTTGTTTTTGTTTTTTGTTTTGCTCTGTTGCCCAGGCTGGAGTGCAGTGGTGCGATCTCAGCTCACTGCAACCTCCACCTCCCGGGTTCAAACAATTCTCCTGCCTCAGTCTCCTGAGTAGCTGGGACTACAGGCGCCCGCCACCATGCCCAGCTAATTTTTGCCTTTTTAGTACAGACAGGGTTTCACCATATTGGTCAGGCTGGTCTAAAACTCCTGACCTCAGGTGATTCACCCCTCTCAGCCTCCCAAAGTGCTGGGACTACAGGTGTGAGCCACCATGCCCAACCACTTTTTTAACAGTTTTATTCAGATTTGTCCAGCTTATATTAGTTTGGTCTGTTTTGATGTTTATGTAAAAAGAATCAGGCTGTACGTATTCTTTCATGTTTTGTTTCTTTCATTCAACATTTTTAAAATTCATCCACATTGTTGCTAGTAGCCTCATGATATGGGTATTCAATGTTATGACTTTACCACAGTTTACCTGTCCATTCAATTGCTGATAAGCATTTGTGCTGTTTCTAGTTTGGGCTATACAAATAATTCTTCTACGAACGTTCCTAAACGTGGATAGATTCTCCAAAGTATATATCTGAGAAAGGAACCGCTGGGTCCTTCAGTTTTTATACCAAACAATTTTTCCAAGTAGTTTTTCAATTTATAGTCCTACTAACAGTATATAAGAGTTCCTGTTGCTTTACATCTGCACCAATACTTAGCACTTAGTATAATCAGACTTTTAAAAACTTTGGTGAATGTGGTGTTTCCCAAATATGATTCTAATTTGAATTTCCCTATTAATGAAATTAGGCATCTTTCTATATATTTATTGACCATCTGATTTCCTCTTTTGTGAAGTGTTTTTTCTTTTGTTTTTAGAGAAAGGGTCTCACTCTGACACCTAGGCTGCAGAGCAGTGGTGTGCTCATAGCTCACTGTAACCTCGAACTTTCTGGGCTCAAGTGATCCTCCCGCCTCAGTCTCTGGAACAACCAGGACTACACATGCATGCTACCATACCCAGCTAATTTTTTGTTGTTGTTTTTTGTAGAGTCAGGGTCTCACTTACGTTGCCCAGGCTGGTGAAATTATTTTTCTTCTGTCCATTTTTCTACTGTATCGTCTTCTAATTGAATTTGCAATATTTGCAAATATTTTCTCCCATTGTACAGGCTAAATAGTTGCAAAACATACAGGTAAAACATCCATAAATATTTCCTCCCATTCTACAGTTGTCTCTTCACTCTGCTGCTTGTTTCCTTTGCTGTAGAGAAGCTTTTTATTAGGTTGGTGCAAAAGTGAGATTTTTGCTGTTTAAAAGAAAAAAAAAAAGGCAAAAGCCACAATTACTTTTGCACCAACCTAATAGTTTAATCTAGCCCCATTTGTCTATTTTTGTTTTGCTACCTATGCTTTTGAACTCTTAGCCATAAGATCTTTGCCTAAAGTCGTGAAGCATCCTCCCCTCATTTTCTTCTAGCAGTTTTATAATCTGGGGTCTTACATTTAAGTATAATCCACTATGAGTTTGATTTTTTAATTATGATTGATAGGGGTCTAGTTTCATTCTTCTGCATATGGATATCCAGTTTTCCCAGCACTATTTACTGAAAAGGGTATCCATTCCCCCATGTCTTGACACCTCTGTCAAATTTAGTTGATTGTAAATATATGAATTTATCTCTGCAATCTTCTAATATCTTTACAGGTTTCTATATAGGACTCTAGTCTACTTAAATATGGCTACTTCGTAAGAGTTCAAATGTATACCCAATGTCCCAGTAGCATTTCTTGAAAAGTTGACTCCTTCCCCATTCTGCAGAGCCATGCTCACAAATCAAGTGTCCACAGATGTACAGATAGGTTTGGGGTTCTCTGTTCTGTTCCAGGGTCTACTGATTAATTTAGTGTTATAAGACATATGATAGAGCTCTCCAACCTTGTTCTTCTTCTAAGATGTGTTATCTACTTGGTCCTATGCATGTTTATATAAATTACAGATTTAGTTTCAAGGTATATACACATACGCAACTTGTTTGATTTTGATTGGGACTGTATTATAGCTAGAAATCAACTTGGGGAAAAATCTACATCTTTACAATATTGTGGTTTCTAAACAATGAATATGATTTCTATTTTCTTGGGTCTTCTTTAACATCTCTCAATAAAAGTTTGCAATTTTCTCTATAGTGGTCATGCACACACATACTCTACTAGGTTTATTCCCAGATACGATTCTAAGTACCTTTAGTATCATCCTTCAAACTGCTGCCAGAGTTGGATTTCTGAAACCTAAATCCGATTAGATTTCATTGTTTAAAATCTATCAATATCTCTTTCTCCCTGCCTAGATGATCAAGTACAAATTCCTTACCATGACACATGTGGCCATAACTTATCTTTCTAATCTCACTCTCTTACATGTACTCTACGTTCAAGATACTCCAAACATTACCAGCTGATTCCCTCTTTCATGCTTCTTGTATATGCCCGTCTCTCCAAGTGGAATGATCTCCTCATCTATCTCCTGCTGATTTATATTACTCTTTCAAGATTAGACAAATTATACCTTCCTAAGAAAGGCTTCCCTGTTTCCCTATGAAGAACCAGCCATTCCTTTCTCTCAGCTGGATCTTCAAAGATGGGTAATATGGAAGAGCATTTAAAGTAGAAGACAAGAGTATAAATAAAGGCACTGGAGCAAAAGAATATAGGGGATTCAATTTTATTAAAGTATGAAAGGAAGTAGTAAGAAATAATACTGGTAAGATATATTGGTATCAAAGCACATAGTGATTTTCAGAGGGTTCCATATTAAACAATAAAGATTTCCTAAGTTAATAAAGAGAGAAAAACCAAAGGATTTTAGATATGGTCAAACATGTACTTTAGGAAGATTAATCTGGCTGTGTTATATACGATAAACTGATAGAGGGCAGGAGGAGGATGGGAATCCAGGGGACTAGATAGGAAACTTAGTACAGTTCAAATAAGAGGCAATGAAAACTGAACTAAGGAAAGAGTAAAGGGAATGAAGAGGAAGACATGAGTTAGACACCAAACAGGAAAAACTTACAGAATCTGGGAACTAAAAAGATGTGTAAGGCAGGGCATGGTGACTCACACCTGTAATCCCAGCACTTTGGGAGGCTGAGGCAGGTGGATCACTTGAACTCAGAAGTTCAAGACCAGTATGAGCAACATGGTGAAACCCCATCTCTACTAAAAACACAAAAATTATCTGGGTATGGTGGTGCGCACCTGTAGTTCTCAGGAGACTGAGGTGGGAGGAATGCCTGAGCCCAGGAGGCAGAAGTTGCGTGAGCTGAGATCATACCACCACACTCCAACCTGGGTAACAGACAGAGACTCCATCTCCAAAAAAAAAAGATGTGTAGTGAGAGCATGGGAGAGAAAATCCAAGAAGTAATGGTAAAAATAAAAAAAAAACTGAAATGACTGTAGCATCATTAACAAAATTACACATTGGTTCTGAAAAGATGATAGGAGATCAGATGGTGACATTCAACTGGGTATCAGAAAGGTATAACTAAAGGTCAGACTACATTTAGGTGGGCAGATCACGAGATCAAGAGATCAAGACCATTCTGGCCAACATGGCGAAACCCCGTCTCTACTAAAAATATAAAAATTAGCTGGGCATGGTGGTGTGCGCCTGTAGTCCCAGCTACTAGGGAGGCTGAGGCAGGAGAATTGCTTGAATCCAGGAGGCAGAGGTTGCAGTGAGCCAAGATGGCGCCGCTGCACTCCAGCCTGGATGACATTTCAAGACTCTGTCTCAAAAAAAAAAAAAAAAAAAGAAAGAAAAATAAACATTTACATATAGGTAAAAATTAAAATAATAGGTTCTGTAGAGACTGGCAAGAGGAAAGTTGAGGACAGAGCTTGGAAAACACCTATATTTACGTGTATAGAGATAAGGGAGGATTGTGTAGAACGGAAATGTAGTGATGGGACTGAAACAGTTAAGAGAATAATATGCAATAATGAACGCCAAAGGCAAAGAATTTCTAAAGGAAAGAATGCTGCAAAGGAGGTCAAGAAGACTGAGGAGTGAGAAGATGTCTCTGTTAACAACGAGATCACTGGCCGGGCATGGTGGCTCACTCACGCCTGTAATCTCAGCACTTTGGGAGGCCAAGGCAGATGGATCACCTGAGGTCAGGGGTTCGAGACCAGTCTGGCCAATGTGGTGAAACTCCGTCTCTACTAAAACTACAAAAAATTAGCTGGGTGTGGTGGTGGGCACCTGTAATCTCAGCTACTTGGGAGGCTGAGGCAGGAGAATCGTTTGAACCTGAGAGGTGGAGGCTGCAGTGAGCCAAAATCACACCACTACACTCCAGCCTGGGTGACAGAGCAAGACTCCACCACAGAAAAAAAAAAAAAAAAAATCCAATCACTGATAACCAGCAGGTGGAATAGTAATTAAGGAACAGTTTTTAAAACAGAATGGAGGCATGCCAGGGGTTTATGAGATGATTCTTTGGAAAATTTCAGACTACATTTAATTGAATCCTTTTTTTATATTTCTATTTTTTATACATGTGCTTATAACGTATGTACTATATTAGTGGTTATTTTTTTTGATCTATCTGGATTTCTGTTGAACTCGTTGCTATTTAGACAAACTATAATAAATAATTCATCCAAAAGTGATAGCTGAAATTAAGTGCTCGAGTATTACAACACAAAAACACTTTCTGAAACATTATCTTCAGGAAATACTAACTTCCATCTCTAATAGTAAAAATATAATAATGTCTTCAGTAACCTAGCAGACTGTGCTTTGACTACAGATTCTGTATCTGTCATAATAAAAATCAGTATTTTAAAAAATAGAGCAAATATAAGCTTTCTGACACATCTTAATTTCCTTTACAATAGTACTAGTAGAAATAAGGCAATTATTAACTGCAAAATGGTTTTACTAATTATAAAGTTACTTTGAAATTAAAGATCAAAAACCTAAATTATTTTTCTAAGTTACTAATGAAAACTTCAAAACAAATTAACAACGATATTCAAAGCAGAAATGTTACCACAATCTCATGTGTACATTCCATGCCAGTTTTATAGCCAACATTTAAACTTTAAATAAAATTCATGTACAGAAGTACCATGAAATGAAATTTGCTCAGAATGACATTAAGATTAATTCAAGTTAACTAAAAGTCAGTTTATACAAAGTTTACTTACCTAAATCACTACTACAAGTGACCCAAATATTAGGTTTTAAGGAATATTTATAATGCTTTATAATACAAAAAAGGAAGAGCATGATATAACTTAAAGATGTGGAAAAATGCAACAGTCTTAAACCAAGTTAAATGTGAACAGATCTAGTCTTTTTGAGATATTTAATGAGAAATTTCAAATACCACAGCTATTCATATACTGTACGATGAAAACACTGATTCACCTATGCTAAAAATACCATCTCTACTTTTCTTATATTTAAATTTAAGAAAAAAAATTTATAAATACATTGACTAATATAATTTTCTGTGATGAGGACAAATGGGTAGAAGTGACTGCTTAAATAATCAGAACTCCAAATGGACAGATTAAGGTCAGCATCTGACAATTTCTCTCTAAATGCAGAAATAAGGGCCCTCGGAATTTACCATAGGCTATAGTATATAAATATTTTTCGAAATTAATCTGAAAATGCTGATTCTTTTCAGCTTATTCTCTTAATAATGATTCCTTAAATTGACTTACCAAGATTTACATCTGGTAGTATCTTATCAAGAAATTGTGTTTCCCCACCATTAGGGGAAAGAAAGTCTGCTAGAAGTTGACTATTACTTAGTTCTGGATGCTGCAGAAGTTTCTTGAATGAACAAAACAAAAAGGGAAAAAACAGTTTAGAAATCTAGAAGAGTAATCAAAACTGTATTTTAATTTTTTTAAAATTTTAAATCCCCAAAAGCTACTTTATATTTAAAATAATAACAAAGCAACTGCATTTTTAGAGGGAAGAGTATAGGATAGTAGGTAAGACCTTGGCCTTTATAGTCAGATATGAATGCGTTCGAATTCTGGCTCTTCCACATGCTAGATTCTTGGAAAATACCTAAATCCTAAACACTTGGAAAACACCTAAGTGACACTAGAAAAGTTCCTAAAGTGCCCAAGAGTCAGTTTCCTAACTTATAAAACGGAAATAATGACACTACCGACTTTATTGTATTGTTATATAAAGCATTTAGCATAGTATCTGACACACAGGAAGTAAAACTAAACATCAGCTACTATTATTTCCCAGTTTCTAAACTACAGAAAAATATGATAGTATGATACAATTGTCTCGATAAATTTTTAGAAGTCGGCATAAAGGGTTTTGCAGAAAACTAGATGTGGAAATGTGAAATAACTTGAAAAATCTGTTGTCTGTTCTTCCTGCAACACTATTTTCTAATAAGATAACATGGGCCGGGCACAGTGGCTCACTCCTGTAATCCCAGCACTTTGGGAGTCTGAGACAGGTGGATCACCTGAGGTCAGGAGTTCGAGACCAGCCTAGCCAACACGGCGAAATCCCGTCTGTATTAAAAACACAAAAAGTAGCCAGGAGTGGCGGTGGGGGCCTGTAATCCCAGCTACTTGGGAGGCCGAGGCAGGATAATCAGTTGAACTCAGGAGGCGGAGGTTGCAATGAGCCGAGATCGCACTGTTGCACTCCAGCCTGGATGACAAGAGCAAAACCCCGTCTCAAAAAAAAAAAAAAAAAAAAAAGACTTTTAAAAGCCAAAATTAACCCAGAATTACCTAATAGTTTCAAAAAAAAAAGACAGTTACAAAACTTTATAAGCAGAAATCTACATTAAAAAACCAGTACAGCTATCTCTAATTTAAATCCATATTACGAGAAAATATTTCTTCTAGAGTGAGGTACTCTAGTTTGTAGAAATAATTAGCTGGTTCAAATAAAGAGTTAATAGTATCAACAAAAACATGGCTTTATGTTTTATCCAAACACATCCTTGCAGTAGCTAATTATTTCATATTTCAATATTCACATCACCAAAAATTTACGTAGAATATAGATATATATATATATTTTTTTTTTTTCAACTTGGAGTTGAAAGCATTCAACAGTTCAGAAAGAGGAAATAAAGTGTTTTTTTTTTTTGACACTGCTGAGTATTTTTAATTTTAAAGTATTTCTTTTCAGCTAGGAGGCATGCAAATTTGACTGAATCGACAATTTTTTTAAAATACAAAATTCCCTGCCCAAATAAAATATTTTTTGAATAAATAAAAGTATCCTCCCTTGTAAGCACTAGAAGAAAGATGGTTATTAATCCTGGAGAGCCTGATGTCTCAAGTAACTTTTATGATGACTGTACCATGTATTTAAATAATATACCCATACATTTAACATAATGTAACGTGCACACACTGAGAAAAATGGAATTCAATTCCACGTAGCAAATGGTAGAGTTGATCCCAGGAAATTGGAAAAATATCTATGAACCCAAAAGAAAAGGGACTAAGGAATAACACAGAAGACTCCAACGTTCAGAAAAAGCTAAACACAAAAATCAAACAGAAAACAGAACAGTAACAAATATTCTAAGAATACTATCCAATATTCTTCAAATGCATCTAATCTTTTACACCAAAAGTTTCTTTTTTTAATGTCCTATACAAAGTTTTAACTAGCCTAAAATTAAGTAAAGATTTTCCTCACCCTAAGAAAATATCTTGTATTTCATTCAATTTGGAGAGGGGGGAAGGAATATACTTTTGACAAAAATTCGTTCTAAAATTCACATGGAAAAATGTTTTTTAAATTAAAATCCACATGGACAGGTATTTATAAACCGAAGCACATATGTACAAGAGAAAAAAAGACAAATTAGAGAATGCTATGATTAGCAACGTTTGGAATTAATACAGTTGATGCTATACCTGTAGATATTCTTGAAACTCTTCCCGCTTAGACTTCAAGAATTCATAATTTTTGGGGCCAATGATCCTCTTAGAAGGAAGCTGGGCATCAGGAAATGTACCTGAAATTAGCATATATTATAGTTATTACTGTGTTCTGCTACTATTTTTAAAACCTTAAATTAGGATTTAAAATTTACTATGGCACATTCAGATTAGCAATACTGCCTTGTAGAGATGTGACATTATTCTTTGAATAATCTTCACAAAACCAGAGAGCTTCAAGTCAGAAGTCCAGAGCAAAGAACTTGAGTCTACTGATAAACAAAAATATCACTCTTGTAACAATCACTGTTTGACGTAGATTTTTTAGCTTTCTATCCTAGTAAAACAGCTTCAAAAAATTATTATGAGATTGTTTTGAAATTGGTGAGATTCTATTAGACAAAACCTTACTAAAGAAATAACTAATTTCTCATAGGGAAAAAAGATAGCATTTTGTCAATGCTATATAAATGGCTTAAAATCAAAATGTAGGCTGGGTACAGTGGTTCACACCTGTAATCCCAGCATTTTGGGAGGCCAAGGTGAGCAGATCACTTGAGGTCAGAAGTTTGAGTCCAACGTGGTAAAACCCCATCTCTATTAAAAATACAAAAAAATTAGCCAGGCGTGGTGGGAAATGCCCGTAATCCCAGCTACTTGGGATGCTGAGGCAGGGGAATCACTGGAACCTGGGAGGCGGAGGTTGCTGTGAGTTGAGAGCGCACCACTGCGCTCCAGCCTGGGTGACAGAGCCAGACTCATCTCAAAACAAAAAAAAAAAGGCCACACCGATGGTGAAACCCTATCTCTACTAAAAATACAAATTAGCTTGGGCGCTGGTGGCACATGCCTGGTAATCCAGTACTCGAAAGTCTGAGGCATCGAAATCATTTGAACCCAGGAGGCCGGGTTGCAGTGCCAAGCATCGTCGCCATGTGCACTCCAGCCTGAGGCACCAGACGAATAGAGGAAATGAAGGAAGGGAGAAAAGCGGAGAGAGAGGGAAGGAGGGAAAGGAGGGAGGCGAGGGGAGGGAGGGAGGGAGGGAGAGGAAGGAAGGAAGGAAGGAAGGAAGGAAGGAAGGAAGGAAGGAAGGAAGGAAGGAAGGGAAGGTGAATGTGCTTTCTCAGATAGGGCTGGCTTTAGAAATTTTAGTATCAAAAAAGAAAAGCATGGAGATAAATTGTCTTCTCTCAGCCTTAAACAAAGAAAGTAGTTTTCAGAGAAAGAATGACGATGGTCCTGCACCAGATTGGTACAGAGAAAGATAAAACCATTTGAACACAAGTAGAAACTCAAAATCTAGGCAAAAATATGGAGTGGGACCTTGTATTCTTTATCTTCCTATAATAATCACCCTTATCACAGTCTTTGCTCTTACATCAGAGAAAGGAATGTTCCTTACCCTTCTCAATTAAAAACCACCCTGAATTTGGATCAGGGGACACTCTACAGAGCTTTTCTAAAATAAAAAGATTTAGAACACACAAATAAAATTCACCAAGCTACATACAAGGAAAAAAAAAAAAAGCTGGAAATTCTTTGTAACTATATCCCTGATATTAACTAAAATAAATACATCGATGAGACAGGAAGAACAAAAAAAGAGTAAATAGAGAGCCCTTTCTAAAATATAGTTTTAAAATAGCTATTTTAAAATTTTGATTTTACTTAAAAAAAAGCATAAATGTGCATTGCAAGAACTTTAAATATACAGATAAATAAAAATAAGAAGATAAACAGTACATTTCCGTTATCAATAAAAGTGTACACAAGCGTCAATGTTGTATTTCTTGTATTTCAATTACTTAAAATAAAAAAATTAATCTGGTATCACTGCTTTAAAGAATGCTAATGCTGAAATGTAATGTTTTATCCAAAAAGAGTAACATACCATGAAATTCTGTTAGTTTTGATTCAAGTACATAGAATTCAAGGTATCTTCTATAGACAGACCAATGTTCAGGTTCGTGTCCAACTGTAAATTGAGTACACACACACTGAGTAACAAATAATTTCAAAACCCTAAAAGAATGTTGTATTTAATACATTAAGAATACAAAGCTGGCTGGACACGGTGCCTCATGCCTATAATCCCAGCACTTTGGGAGGCCAAGGTGAGTGGATCATTTGAGGTCCAGAGTTCAAGGCCAGTCTGGCCAACATGGTGAAACCCCGCCTCTACTAAAAATACAAAAATTAGCCAGGCGTGGTGGCAGGCGTCTGTAGTCCCAGTTATTCAGGAGGTTGAGACAGGAGAATCGCTTGAACCCAAGAGGCAGAGGTTGCAGTGAGCTGAGATCGCGCTGTTACACTCCAGCCTGGGCAACAGAGCGAGACTCTGTCTCAAAAAAAAAAAAAAAAAAAGAATACAAAGCTGGACATTATTCCACAGTCGTAATTTGTTATTTTTGGCATAACATTATTAACACATTTTATCCCATATTTTAGTTACCTACAAGTGACTGATAAATTTCATCTATGAAGTTATCTCAAATATACTTTTTCTATAGCAGAATCAGAGCTGACAGAAACTTTAAAATATCATGCGATTATGATTATTTTTAAACTGTCACCAAAAGATGTATTTCATAAGAGTTTTTTATTGATTTGGGGTTTCTCAAACATTTACCATATTGTCCTAATTTAATATAGTATAAAGCAGTACTATTCAATAGAACTATCTGCAGTTAGGAAGATGCTCCATGGATCTGCATTAATATACTAGCTACTAGCCACATGTTGCCACTGAGTACTTGAAAGGCGGCTAATGCAACTAAAGAACTGAAATTTTAATACAATTTAATTTGAGTTTAATTACCACATGCAGCTAGTGGCTACTAAATTGGGCAGCACATAGTAATGGTTTAAAGAGTAAATCTGGAATCAGACTGCCTATTCTAATCCCAGTTCACCTTGCCCCCATCTACTATGTGGCCTTGAACAAACAACACCACTGTGTACCTTGCAGTGTGTAGATGTAGAATAACAATAATTGTGTCTATCACCTAAAATAATCCACACAAAGCACTTCTGTACAGTGCATAGCACAGCATAGCACAGAGTAAATACCTCATAAATGTTAACTGTTATTGTTAACATCTAACATCATTCTACCATAGATTTCAGAATGTAGTAGATCGAGTGAAGCAATACCACAACCATCCAAAACAACACGTCTATTTAGAAAAAAATCAACCTGATCACAACATATAAAGTAAATCCTAGTTTTCTTCTTCAACACTGGTCTTAAAAGATCCATAGTATATTTAGGCTAGGTTTTTAATGCTGAAATTGTTATTTTGTTACCCACATAAAATCAATACACTAATTGATATACTTTTTTCTCCCTGATAGATCATGGTTTCTAAGAGCACATTTCATTGACAGTAGAAGTCTGCAGCACTGGTGACAAAAAAATTATCTTTAAAATACAAGCTTTTGGCCCAGCACAGTGGCTCACACCTGTAATCCCAGTACTTTGGGAGGCCAAGGCGGGAAGACCACTTTGAGCCCAGGAGTTCGAGACCAGACTCAGCAACATAGTGAGACCCTTTCTCTACGAAAAAGTTTTAAAATTAGCTGGGCAGGGTGACATGCACCTATAGTCCCAGCTACTCAGGAGGCTGAGGTGGGAGGATTGCTTGAACCTGGGAAGTCGAGGCTGTAGTGAGCCACAGTCACGTCACTGCACACCAGCTTGGGCAACAAAAAAGATCCCCTCTCAAAAAGAAAAAAAATTAAATTAAATTAAAAAATAAAATAAAATACAAGTTTTAAGATTTTTTGGTTTTTATTTTCAAATTACTGAGCCATGAATTTATAATTTATGTTAAATTAATTAACCTTTTAAGATAAAGCATAAAAATTAAAAATAGTTGTCCTAAAGCAAAAACAAAAGTATATTCCAAACAAAACTAAGTTTGAAATGGAAATCTGACTCAGTTTAACAACAGTTTAGCTGTCCACCTGTCAGAATTAACAACAGCTTAGCTGTCCACCTGTCAGAATGCTGAAAGAACAGCAACTAGTAAGACTGAACAGTAACTCCAGCAAAATCAGGCAGTATGGTGTAAGACCTGGACAGAGTAAGACTCTGCCTGATATTTAGTTATGATAGGAAAAATTGTAACTAGTTACTCTGGGCATTCTTCCCTCCCAATTCCTATGTCTCATGTTCTTGAAACAGGATCAACTTCTGAGGAAAATCAGAAAACCTAATACTTTTTGAAAAATAAAGATAATTAGCACTGATCTTCACCCTACCACTTATCCTCTCAAAACCATTTTCTAACATTGCCACTTTTTTTCCTTCCTTCCTCATAACTCCCTCTTCCTGAGCTCAACTTTATTTTCTGCTCATCATTCTCAAAATGTGGTGCTTTTCGTTATACTCACTGCCCCACTTCTTAGAAAAAGTGCAAAGTGGTCACTGTTTTATTTTTTAATTGGATTTCTTTTTATCATGTTACAAGTAGGACTTTAAAGTGGTGACTGTTTATTCTGCTACAGATGCTGTTAACCCTGGTCTCTATTACAGTTTATACCTGAAATAACCGAAAGAAAAAGTATAGCAAAACGTGAAGAAAACCTGTAGTTTTAACCATATTTTCATCAGTCCTTTTTTTTGGGGAACAGGGTTTCACTCTGTCTCCCAGGCTGGAGTACAGTCACATAATCTCGGCTCACTGCAACCTCCGCCTCCGAGGTTGAAGCAATCTTCATGCCTCAGCCTCCAGAGTAGCTGGGACTACAGGCACGCACCACCACGCATGGCTAATTTTTGTATTTTTAGTAGATACAGGGTTTCGCCATGTGGGCCAGGTGGGTCTCAAAACTCCTGACCTCAGGTAATCCACCCACCTTGGCCTCCCAAAGTACTGCAATTAAAGGCGTGAGCCACCATGTTTGGCCACATTTTCATCGATTCCAATTAGCCCACAAAATGGGTGAGAGAAAACGCTGTCTTAATTAAACTAGAATAATACCTGATATATTGCTATATGGATTAATGATAATTAAGTAAGTACAATCGCTAATGACGGCAACAAAACCATTAAAAGAACATTACATTGAATGCCTGATGGACTGTCAGGTGTCTAGCAGGCATCATTCAATAAGTGCTGATTGAATGAGTTAGTTAACTGCTATGAAGATAACTTAGGACATCCTAAGCTTTCTTTCAATTTTCTGTTCTGGACACTTCTTTTTTGGATATGCAGCCATATTTGCTAGCTAGAAGTGGCAAAATGTTTATCACATTTGCTAACAACAGACTCATTCACAGGTATCTTTTAAGAAAGGTGCTCAGAAAGCTTCCTACCTGCTCTTCTATCATTTCTTTCAACATCAATACAAAACACAGGAATTCTTTCTTTTTTCTCCTTCCTTTCAGAGGAGGGATCCTCAAAAAAGTCTACATATGGAATGCTAATTTTCCATGCAGCAAGGTTTCGGGGAGTATTAGGTGTGCTCACAGCCTCCACTGGAGAATCATCTTCCATTACAACAATACCTTCTTCAATCTGGAAAAAAATTACCAGGATGAATTTAATATTCCTAATACCTTTAGAACTATAGCATATGAGATACAAGTATAAAGTAATATGCCCATATCAACTGATAATTTTTAAGACTCTAAAAGCTAGGTGATATTAAATTTTCTACTGAAAAAGTATAGGTAAAAAGCTAAAAACAAGTTACTAGCATCAACTCCAAGTTTTCTTACATCATCTGTATATGAAAATATAATAGGCTGGGACAGCACCTATAAGCCCAACACTTTCACAGAGGCTGAGGTGGAAGGATTGCTTGGGCCTAGGAGTTTGAGACTAGCCTGGGAAACACAGTGAGACCTCATCACTACAGAATATTTTTAAAACATTAGTTGGGCATGGTGGCCCGCCTCTGTAGTCTCAGCTACTCAGGAAACTGAGGTGGGAGCATTGCTTGAGTCCAGGAAGCTGAGATTGCAGTGAGCCAGGTTCGTGCTACTGTACTCCATCCTGGGTGACAGAGTGAGACCCTGTCTCAAAAAAAAAGAAAGAAAGAAAATATAATAGAAGATAAAGAATATACACCTCAGAGATTAGGGAAAAAAATGTAAAATACACAAATATAGAAACTGTTCAACCTTTGTGATAAGAAATAAAAAGTAAAGTTCTGGTATTTTTCTCATTTCGAGAAGTAAAATTTTATAAATGATAGCAGTCATTCATGGAGACTGCACAGATAAACTAGATCTGTGGCACACTACCGGTTACAAGGTATACCAGCACAACCCTTCTGGAAAGTGTTTTGGCAATATGTATCTATAAAGAGTCATAAAATGATTTCAAACAAGTAATTCCATTTTTGGAAATTTATTTTAATAAAAATATTTACTCCAAAAATTTTTTAACCATAAAAAAGACCCAAGTACAAACTGTAACATAAGTAACAAAAAATTGGAAAAAAACATCTGGAAGAAACCCACCTCTACAGAATTAAGAGTTTTTTTTATTTCATCACTTCTTTTTTTATTTTTGTTTTTTTTTTTTTTGAGAAGGAGTCTCGCTCTGTCGCCCAGGCTGGAGTGCAGTGGCCAGATCTCAGCTCACTGCAAGCTCCACCTCCCGGGTTTACACCATTCTCCTGCCTCAGCCTCCCGAGTAGCTGGGACTACAGACGCCCGCCACCTCGCCCGGCTAGTTTTTTGTATTTTTTAGTAGAGACGGGGTTTCACGGTGTTAGCAAGGATGGTCTCGATCTCCTGACCTTGTGATCCGCCCGTCTCAGCCTCCCAAAGTGCTGGGATTACAGGCTTGAGCCACCGCGCCCGGCCATTTCATCACTTCTTAAACTTTAACAACATAAATGTTTAAAATGCTAAATATTTTTAAATACTGAAAAAATAAAATAACAATTATTTTTAAAAACAAAACCACATGTTCTAGAAATAGATACATAGGAAGAAGGAAATAACTGTCTCCATTTTTTAAATTGGAAGAGATTATTTGAATCTGGCATATTATAAACACTGACTCACCTAGACATCTCTTATTCATGTTAGAAAGGGCAAAATATTATAAATGAAATGCATTCATCTAGAACACACCTTTTTAAAGGCAATGAGTCAAAGTCTGTAGCACTTAAAAGAATTCTGAATAGCCTAGTCAGAGCAAATCAGTAGTACAGAGGAATTTATTTCCAGAATTCTAGCCTTACCCTCACTCTCAGTTCTTTCCTCTTACCCCGGGTACTTACCTCTCTTCTAAGGAAATTCCTTTCCTCCCCCACAAACCCCCTTTGCTTTTTCTTTTTTTTTTTTTTTGAGACAGAGTCTCACTCTGTCGCCCAGGCTGGAGTGCAGTGGCGCAATCTCTGCTCACTGCAAGCTCTCCCTCCCAGATTCATGCCATTCTCCTGCCTCAGCCTCCCGAGTAGCTGAGACTAGAGGCGCCCACCACCATGCTCAGCTAATTTTTTGTATTTTTAGTAGAGACGCGGTTTCATCATGTTAGCCAGGATGGTCTCAATCTCCTGACCTCATAATCCGCCCGCCTCAGCCTCCCAAAGTGTTGGGATTACAGGCGTGAGCCACCACGCCTGGCTCCCGCTTTGCTTTTTTCTGTTCTCATCCTAAACTGGCTTTCCAAAATCTCTAATAAGACTCTCACTGATCTTAGGAAGACTTCTTAATGCTCTGTTGAAAACAACTTCAAGACCTTAAAAAACAAAACTATAAAAACAGATACAGATGTTGGGTTTTGCCTTTTAAAAGGCAAGGTTACCTTCTTACAATCTTGGAAGAAACACAGAGAGATGTGTGAGGGAAACACCCAATGCTTAAAACCTGAGGTTCAAGGTAGCATTTTCCATGGTTAATACAAGTATATTTTTGTTAATGGATCTAGCTTCTGAGGAGAGGGGAAAGTGAATCATACAATAACAGAGAATTTGTTGAAAATGCTGACTAAAAGCCAAAAAAAAAAGGGGGGCGGGCATTCTTAAATTAAAAGAAGCTCCTCAGAATTAATCTAAGAAACAAAATGGGAGAACAAAATTCTTAGCAATGTAAAGGGACAAAGTTTTGCAATTTATTACTGTTACTACTTAAATGGTATTTTTATCAAAGCCTAAAGAAAAATCTCTAGGGAAATATTTCTCTAAGAATTTTCAAGGCATCCTTTAATGCTATTTGAAAATAAGTGGCCGGGCGCGGTGGCTCAAGCCTGTAATCCCAGCACTTTGGGAGGCCGAGACGGGCGGATCACGAGGTCAGGAGATCGAGACCATCTTGGCTAACCCGGTGAAACCCCGTCTCTACTAAAAAATACAAAAAACTAGCCGGGCGAGGTGGCGGGCGCCTGTAGTCTCAGCTACTCGGAAGGCTGAGGCAGGAGAATGGCATGAACCCGGGAGGCGGAGCTTGCAGTGAGCTGAGATCCGGCCACTGCACTCCAGCCTGGGTGACAGAGCAAGACTTCGTCTCAAAAAAAAAAAAAAAAAAAAAAGAAAATAAGTAAATATTGTAATCAAAATGTTAATAAAGGAAAATCAAGTACTTTAAATACTTTTTCGTTTCCAAATACCTGCTATCTCTACCAAGAGGATGGGGATTATGGAAGATGGAAATGGAAATAAAATTTCCTCAAGAAATGTTAATATTTCTGACTATTCTTTTCCTGTACAGAGATATCTGCCAAGTTACCAACAGGCATATTATATTCCGTAAGTATATTTGTAAGCCAGTTCTGAACTTGGACAGAAATACATTTTCTGATACACCAACCCAATTTTTCAACCCAATTTTTTTTTTTGAGACAGGGTCTCACTTTGTTGCCAGGCTCACTGCAAACTCCTCCTCCCGGGCTCAAATGATCCTCCCTCAGCCTCCTGAGTACACCACATCCAGCTAATTTTTCTATTTTTGTAGAGACAGGATTTCACCATGTTGCCCAGGCTGGTCTCGAATTCCTAAACTCAAGTGATCCTCCAGCCTCAGTCTCCCAAAGTGCTGGGATTACAGGTATGAGCCACCATACCCAGCCCTGACCCAATCTTATATACTAGGCTTTGGTTCCCAGGCCAGCATATGGACGGATGCTAATTTAATCCCTAACTTGAGATCACACAGCTATGAGAATTGATGTGCTTACAGGACTCACTATGTGCAAGGCACTGTTCTCAGTGCTTCGTATATATTACTTGCTTAATACTCCTTACAACATCCCTATGAAAGATAAAATTACCTCCATTTCAAGGTGATGAAACAAATCATAATAAAATTAACGAATGTGCCCAAGACCACACAGCAAGCAGGCACTACCGCCAAATGATCACAACAAGGGTTCTGAAAGATAATGTCAGGCTGGGCATGTTGGCTCACGCCTGTAATCCCAGCACTTTGGGAGGCCAAGGTAGGTGGATCACCTGAGGTCAGGAGTTTGAGATAATGTCTCCTAAGTCTCCAATTAGTCATCCTAAATGTCCAACTTAGGATCACAAACCAATTTAGGATCACCCGGCAATGAAACTGGAAACTTTTCTTTTCCCTCAACTTCCAAACAAGACAAAGAGGATTCCCCAAGGTCCCACAAGTTAGAACTAACATAGTGTCTTCTAAATCCTAAATGGCATCATCTTAGTCTGCGTTAGCACCTCACTGTCCCTGAGTTTTCCTTTGCTAGTATTAAACATTAGTTTGCCTGCTTCTCCAACTTTCTGTTACTACTATCTTTAATCCCAATCAAGAATTTCCTTCTTCTTGGGTCACTACAAAACAAAGCAAATTCTCTCAGCTTTTTAAAGATAGCCTCCTATTCCTGAAGCTAAAGTACAGCTTGTGTATCAAGCAGTTGGGAAGGCAAAAAATAAAAAACACATCTTCCTCCACAAAAAATTATGTTTTAAAAGTTCGTAATAACACGGTTAAATACTTTTGTTATAATACTGAATAGAGAGAAAAGATAGCAAACTATATATATAAAACGTAGTCTAGTCTACCGGGGTGAAAAGGGAAAGTTTTTTTGTTTGTTTGTTTTTAAAGAAAATCACCAAACTATTAATAGAAGTGGTTACTGGGTGGTAAGATTATGCATGTACATGGTATTTAATTTTTTTCCACTGTTCTATATTATTTAAAAACTGAAAATATGCTTAAAATTAGAAAACAAACATTATTTTCAAAAAGATTTTCTCTGATCTACTTTCTTCTATCCACACTTTTTTTTTGAGACAGTCTCTTACTCTGTTACCCAGGCTGGAGTACAGTGACACAAACATGGTTCACTGCAGCCTTAACCCCCTGAGCTCAAGTGATCCTTCCAAGTAGCTACAACCACAGTTGTGCACCATCACACCCAGCTAATTTTTTAATTTTTTGTAAAGACAGGGTCTCGCCATGTTGCCTAGGCTGGTCTTGAACTCCTTGGCTCAAGCAATCCTCCCACCTCAGCTTCCCAAAGTACTGAGATTACAAATGTGAGCCACCACACCCAGCATAAAAATACTACCCACACCAAGGCCGGGTGCGGTGGCTCATGCCTGTAGTCCCAGTACTTTGGGACTACAGGTGGGTGGATCACGAGGTCAGGAGTTCGAGGCCAGCCTGGTCAACATGGTGAAACCCCATCTTTACCAAAAAAAATACAAAAATTAGCTGGGCATGGTGGTGGGCGCCTGCAATCCCAGCTACTCGGGAGGCTGAGGCAGGAGCCCGGGAGGCGGAGGTTGCAGTGAGCTGACATCGTGACATTGCACTCCAGCTTGGGTGACAGAGCAAGCCTCTATCTCAAAAAAATAATAATAATACCCACGCTTATAGGGAAAAAATAATGGCATAAAAAACTGCTTTATTTGAATTAATAAAAAAGGTTTAAATAACATTTTATTCCATTTAAATTATTATGAAGAATCAGTGACCCTTACATCAAGGCAATGGGACAAAAGTCAAAAGGAAGGGGTAAAAGAAAAGGGTTTACTGCTGTCTCCCCACCTTTCCTCCTTCTTGGTCATCATCAATCCAATCAGTACTAAACATCCCTTTTACACCCAAGTTAAGTGAATTTCTTAAAGTCAAGGTCTACATTTTAATCTTGTTTTCATCCCCAGTGCCCAGGGTCATTAAAAGACAAAATGAGAATCCAAGATCTCTACTCAATAAAAATAAAAAGTACAAATGAGACAATACTTGCCTTTATGGCACTATGTGATACAAAAGACAATCATAAACATATAACTTCAAATACATTATGGTACAAGTTTTAACATATGATATAACAGGGACACAAAAGGAGGAAATGTTCAGTTCAACTTGGGGATTTGGGTAAAGGTTTATGGGGAACAGCTGCATTTTGAAGGATGCACATGAATTTTCCAGGTCAATAAACAAATGAAGGGCATTTCAAGCAGGACAAAGACACAGAGAAATAAAATAGCATGGTAAGTAAAATGTGCATATAAGTCAACCGGAAATCTTGTTAAAATGCAAATTGATTCAGTAAGTCTAGGAGAGTGCCCGAGATTCTGTATTTATACAAGCTCCCAGGTAATGCCAATGCTGCTTGTCAACAGACCGCAGTTGAAGTAAGCAAGGAGCTAGAGCATCTATTAGCAGCTCTGTATACCTGGAGCACATGGTAGGAAAAAGGTAACATCAGAATTTGAAGCTTAACCAAATGATGGTAAACTGTTTGAATATTAGAAGTGTCTCAGCTTAACAGGAACCATTCTGCCTTAATAAGCAATAACATAGTTCCTAGGAATTTTAAAAATTAGATTCACGTCATGAAACTATCACAACTAATTAAAGAATGAGAAATACAAAGGAAGTCTGAAGTAAGAAGATAAAGGGAAAGTATGAGAATACAGATTCTCCAAAAAAAAAAAAGGAAAATAATGAGTATCTCTAATTTTTATGTTATAGTAAGTGTGAAGTTATAAATAAATCAAATTGATACATTTTACTTACAAAATCATCTTCACCTTCAGCTACACCATAATTAGGCAACATAGCTCCCTCCATTGTGGTACTTTTGAATACTCCTTTAATTTTGCTACCTATTCTGCTGATTCCAAATGATTCTCCCCTTTTCTGTGTGTTCCTGAATATTAAACAAACATGTATCAAGTACATAGCAAATTATCACAACAGTCTGGTTTATTGAAAACCATTATTTAGAAAAAAAGAAAAACAGTTTTGAAAATGATAAACTAAAGGTATAGCTAACATAACTTTTGGAGTTTTCATCCATGGATTAAGTAATATCTCAGAAGCCAAAAATGACATAGTATTTAAACTTTAAATTTGGTGGATGAATAAACAGGACAATATTTATTTATAAACACTCAAAATTTACCTACTATTAACTTCAAAATATTAACCGGATTAAAATTTTTAAAAGATGAGAGCCCCCTAGCGGAATATAGTTCTTATTGCGATATTTTGAAATAGATAAAAAAATGCTTAAGATCTGTTCAAAATGGAAAACATCCCTTTAGAGTAACTGTACTAAAATTATGCAACAGAAAAAAATGTCAACTATTGTTTTCTCACTACTTCATTTTCAGAAGGAACTTTAAGAAAAATAATAGTGCCAAAGGGAAAGGTTAGCAATGAGCATAGGGATAAAAGCAAATGTAGCCCTAGGAAGCAGTCTGCTCTGCCATAAATATTAAATGTTGGTTTTGCAATTTTTTTAAGTTGAATTTCTGAAAGCAGAAATAGCTGAAAAGCAACAAAATAAATAAGCTAAAAGTAGCAAAAATGTCCGTTAGCCTACTGCCCAATGTTTCAGCAACTAAAACCGTAACTTTTATCCAATTTAAAAGTTATGCTCAAGGCCAGGCACAGTGGCTCACACTTGTAATCTCAGCACTTTGGGAGGCCAAGGCTGGCAGATCACTTGAGGTCCGGAGTTCGAGACCAGCCTGGCCAATATGGCGAAACTGCATCTGTACTAAAAATACAAAAATTAGCCAAGTGAGGTGGCAGGCAAAGGCTAACACAGGAGAATCACTTGGACCTGAAAGGCAGAGGTTGCAGTGAGCCGAGATGGCACCACTGCACTCCAGCCTGGGCGACAGAGTGAGGCTCTATCTTGAAAAAATATATAAAATAAAATAAAGTCATGTTCACTATGTAATGCTGCTCTTACAACAGATATCCAAATAAAAATGACTACTTTAAAATCATCTGAGAAAGTTTGTTTTGAATGCTCAAGTGTATAGCTATTACTCCTGTGAGGAAAATTAAGTTATCTACTAAAATAATATAATTACAGAAAGAAAATTAATCAAGTTTCAAATACACCAATATGTAGTAATGTGTATTTTACACACATCCAAGAAGTAAATCAAACTTCTGGAAAAACACTAATAGTAAGTAGTAAGCAGTAAAAGGGGTACTTAAACTAGATTATTTTATCTAAACAAACATACAATTAGGGTTTTTTAAAACAAGAATTGTAGACACAACTGTCCTTGATTTAAAAACAAAAAATGCTTCCCAAGACATAAAAATGTTAACAAAACATTTTTAAAATCTCTAGACTCCAAATGGTTTATTCTAGTCTCTACAACATGGATATTACAAAACAATGGGGGTTGTTGAAATATGAAATTTAAAAAGTCTCACTTGTGATTATGCCCAGAAATACAGAAACATGATACTTCTTAAAAAAAAAAAGATTATTTAAACATAAATAATTCTAAAATTAATTTAGCAAAATTAACAAGAACAAAAATGAGTCAACAGCCTTAAAAAACAAGATACTGACAAATTAAATAACGAAAATATCTTTGAAGTATAAGGACATTTTTATTTTATGATGACATATCATGCTATTTCAAAGAGGACATATCTAGACTAAAAGTAGGTATTCCTTTTAAAAGATTATCCTAAATAACTAGGATATAATGGCAGTTAATACTATAGTGTTTCATTTTTTTCCTTTTTATTTCTATTAGGTTGTTCACAATGTACTTTCTAAAAACATTTAATACTGAAAAGAATCACATGCTCAAGACTTACCGAAAATCATCCAAACTTAGGCTACCTCTGCAATAACAGGTATGTGAAATTATACAAGGAGAGGAAAGAAAGAAAGCCCAGATATTATATAAACTTCTAGAACACAAAACAAAATTTAAAAGCTTCAGAAGTTACACAGGTGTATAACATTCATCTTTGCAAAGGGAAGAAATCCTCATGAATAAGGTGATAAAGATAAGATAAATGCACAGAGCTGTCTTGTGTGTTTGGATGAAGTCTACATTACTAAAAACCGTTCTTAAATATGCTATCTCTTGGGTGACATGGAAAAAAATTAAATATATCAGGAAATAACTGACTTTTTTCTACATCATTAAAAAAGGTTCTTAGAAATTAAATATCCAGAAATAATTCTGTCTTTTCTTTGTCCTCAGGCATACCATTTCTTTCATACAGCGGAAAGTATGCAGAGACTGAACCACTGAAAATCTGGCACAAAAAACAAACCCATATTTTCCAACATTAAATTTGTGTCCATGTTAGATAGAATCATTTATGCTTCACATGTTTTTAGCTTGAGTAAAAAAATGTTTTAAGCTAAGAAGCACAGTTAACAAAAGATCTCTAAATATTAAAAAACAAAAGTTGTACTTTAAGTGTAGAATGAAACAGAGAACATGATAAATAATATGCATTAGAATTTTACTTCGAAAATATAAAATGTGGACATCAAATATATGAATACATATTTTATGTAATTTAAGTCATTTAATAGCAAATTAACAAAGCTATTCTAAATCTCCAATGAAAGAATGTTAAAAAACTTTTATTGTATATAGGTAAATAAATCATTAACTATCACAGAAGCAGAGTCCTGACAAGACTGATAGTTAACTATTAAAATCAGATCACCCTAAAGAAAAACATACTTTAAAAAGTCATAATCAGCATCCAGAATGAAAAGAACCCATATAATCTGTCTTTTTTATGTTTTAAAGCCAACAAAATTAGTACTTGAATATGCTGAAAATAATCAAGTGTTCTCAAAGTAGCAAAGAAGGCTTTTTTCATCTCTGAAGTTATGATCTTGACTTAGATTTTAACTACGAAGCAAGCTATTTATTTTATTTTATTTTATTTTTAATTGAGATGGAGTCTTAGTTGCCCAGGCTGGAGTGCAGTGGTGCAATCTCAGCTCACTGTAACCTCTGCCTCCTGGGTTCAAGTGATTCTCCTGTCTCAGCCTCCCAAGTAGCTGGGATCACAAGTGTGTTCCACCACACTTGACTAACTTTTGTATTTTTAGCAGAGACAGGGTTTCACCACGTTGGCCAGGCTGGTGTTGAACTCCTGACCTCAGGTGATCCGCCCGCCTCAGCCTCCCAAATTGCTGGGATTACAGGCGTGAGCCACCACGCCCAGCCATCTACCAAGCAGGCTTTTAAGGTCACAGAACCACTTCCTCTTAAATGGTCCTAGAAAAGGGCATTTCATTAGCTCCGTGCCCTGGTATGAAACTCCAAACATCTTATGTCTATAAACAAGGATAAATTCTACCTGCTTCTCAAGTATGCCAGTAAATTCGAGGAAACTCCTTGGAAAAGAATTCAAATGCAAGAAAAGGCATGTGGCCTGGGCAAAGAATGTTATATTAAATAGTATGAATATGATTTTTGTTAAATAAAATCTAAGCTTCATGGCTATAACATATAAATTTTTAGGAAAAAGTTAAAAAGTAGCATTTTTGCAAATAATCCTAAACGTATTTTCTACCTTTCAGAAAAGTTATTACATGTATGCTACTTCTACTGAGGCATTAAATCAGAATTAATATTCAACGTTCAAAGAAACACCTATTCCCATAACACTTGGTTATGTCAAGAAATACAATATATTCCCCTCATGGCTAAGGTTTTCACATTTTTCCTTCTACTAACTATCTAAAACACTGCCCCATTTCTTGACTATCTACTTCTCTCTTTGTAGTACATATTCAGTTTATTTATGTGTTTATTAGAGGCTTGCTCAAATTGGAAGGTGTTGAGATGTTTGTGTCAATTTTGTACATATATAAGGTAAATGAAATGATTAGAAATGAAAATGAAAAGTAAGTGAAATGATTCATTTACTTTCTATATAAGAAGTCAAAAGAGTTTCTTAACTTTTTGTTTTTTTTGAGACAGTCTCGCTCTGTCACCCAGGCTGGAGTGCAGTGGCGTGATCTCGGCTCACCGCAACCTCCACCTCCTGGGCTCGAGCAATTCTCCTGCTTCGCCTCCCAAGTAGCTGGAATTACAGGCAAGTGCCACCATGCCCGGCTAATTTTCATATTTTTAGTAAAGACAGGGTTTCACCACGTTGGCCAGGCTGGTCTCAAACTCCTGACCTCAAGTGATTCACCCGTCTCGGCCTCACAAAGTGCTGGAATTATAGGTGTAAGCCACCGTGCCCAGCCATTAATATTCTTTCATTGGAAATTCAGAATAGGTTTGTTGATTTGCTATTATGTGACTTAAAATATATATTTATTCATATATTTTATTTATAAATCTATTCTGTAGATTTATACATTTAGTATCTGTGTCAATTTTGTACATGTAACCCTGCAAAGACAAATCAGAATATTACTTATCCAGTTTACAAATAGATAAAGCTTTTCTCTTCTATTACCTTTCTTTAGATATCTTAACTGTACACTTAGGTTTCCAGAGAGCCAAAAAAAGAAATAAACATTCCTCCACTTTTGTACCCAGTAAGCACTCTTAAAAAAAAGTTTTCTCTAAAACATTTAATTCTGAGTTATCTGTGGATGCCACTTATGCATTCAGTCCCTAGTCTCCAATAAAGCCAGTAATCAAAACTAATATATATTAATTATGAGATTAACAAGGCCACATTACGTATCTTGTTAAATTTTTCTAAAAGAATTTCAGGCATTTTCAGATCACTATATAGAAGACAGTTCTACAATTCACTAGTAAAATGCCTTGTCTACTCATATAACAATGGAACCACATATTCATTCAGAAAAATAGCTAATAAAGACAATGATGCTATCATAGAATGATTGGCATCAGCAAGTTCAAAAACAAAACATACAACCTACCTGTTGAATTTTGAATTGCGTGTTGGTGATTCTGCACCTCTTAAAAGTTGTCTGAAATACTTTAAAATAACAAATACTAATTATCATTTATTACACTTACAATTAATATTAAAACATGTTACCTTAGTTTACTACTTTCCAGTTTTGGGGGGGAAAAAAAAAGCTATCTCAATCAAGTGAATACAGACATTGTCAAATAGGGCAAGGATGAAAATACTGCAAACGCAGATGATTTCCACAGGTTTGTAAATAACGTGTATACAATGAGATTTCTGCATCACTGCAATACTACAAAGCTGCTCAGGCATATGGCAAACCAGGCAGACCTATTTGGTCCCAATCTATCTACTTACATAAATATAAACAGGTTTTGGTATTGATAATTGTTTTTGCAATTATTTTTTAATCTTCACTTAATTACATAGAGGAAAAGACTTGGTCTTTTTGTTCTGTTTTCTACTGAGACAGAGTCTTGCTCTATCGCCCAGGCTTGAGTGCAGTGGTGTGATCTCAGCTCACTGCAACCTTGGCCTTCTGGGTTCAAGCTATTCTCCTGCCACAGCCTCCCGAGTAACTGAGATTACAGGCATGTGCCACCACACTCAGCTAACTTTTTGTATTTAGTAGAGATGGAGTTTCACCATGTTGGCCAGGTTGGTCTTGAATGCCTGAACTCAAGTGATTCACCCATCTCAGCCTTCCAAAGTGCTGGGATTATAGGCATGAGCAACCGTGCCCAGCAATCTTGTTTTATTTTTCTATTTATTTTGTTCTTTGAATCACTCATCTAATGAAATCAGAGCTACTACTAAATTATGTATAAAAATCCTCAAACAAGCTTAATATTTTGACTTACCTCATCACTATGGCAGAACATAGGAGTAAATACATTCTCCAAAAGAGAAAGGACATGTTCATACGCTTCAAAAAGACATCTCATAGTTTGAAGTTTCACAACATCTATGTATGGGCCTTCAGCAACTATTAAAAAAATTCTACTGTAGAAATTATTTATAAATAGCATAAACATATACAGTTCTAAAACGTTTTACTGAAACTCCACTGTAAGAAACACACTAGATTGAGAAATTAGACCAACCAAGCTCTAGTTCTGACAAATACGTAAAGTATAAACAAGTCTCTTCTTTAAAGCTTTCATCTCATTAGTAAAATAGAATAGCTGCCCGTGTACTGCAGATAGCCACTGCAATAGTAAGCAGAGAATAAATGGGAAAACTGTAAGAATGCTAAATAAGTCATTCTTATCGTCTTTGACTTACTTCTTTGAATCTCTTCTACAATGAAGGGATCAAATCTAATTTTGTCAATACTTTCATCCAAACAGTATGTTTTATAAATCTTCTGCAACTCTTCATGAAGAGATAGCATTTCATCATTTGATAATTCTGGTCGTAAAATTCTATCATTAAATTCCTCTAACAAATGAGGGAAAGAATAAGAAAAAATAATTTTAATGTAAAACTATTCATAAACACTTAATAGTCCCATTCTAATTGTAGCCAACACTAACAGCAGCAATTAGAAGCAATCTAATTCATCTAAGTTTTTAAAAAATATTTGAGAATAAGATAACTACTCAATAAAAGAGAAATGCAATCAACCAGTTTTTATACATTAACAGAAAATATGTAAATACATAAATAGCAATACAAATTTGCTAAAATTCAGGACACTAAACACACTTCTAATAGTTTCCTTAAAGAACAATATTGGATTAATTTATTATACCACAAGTCTTTCATTATTCTGAAATCTGATTTACTAAATAAAAATAAATGTGAATACTGTTTTTAGTTTCAATCAATGTTTTTAAACAATATTTCTCTCCATCATGAACGCTGCAAATTAGTGGCAGAACTGACAGTTTGAACAAATGAATGTTTATTCCAAAATAAAAGATGGTTGTATTAGGACAGCCAAAATACCAATTGTTTTTTCATTTTATTTCAAGATGTGTTAATAAGGAGTTTACCATTTACTTTTTAATCATTCAAACCAAAATATAAAGGGGGAAAAAGGGAGTTAAAAAAAAACACAAACGAAAAAAGGCTGAAGACTTGTGAGGCCACAGAATATAACTGCCATTCCTGTATGACTTAACATGCATATAAGGGAGCAGGATATTTGAAAAGACAGCCAGGAATTGTCAAAACTGATTAAAGGTCAGGTGTGATGGCTCATGCCTGTAATCCCAGCACTTTGGGAGGCTGAGGCAGGAGGATCACCTGAACCCAGGAGTTCAAGACCAGCCTAGGCAACATAGTGAGACTCAGTCTCTATAAAGAATTAGCCAGGCATGGTGGTGTTCACCTGTAGTCCCAGCTACTTCGGAGACTGAGGCAAGAGGATGACTTGAGCTCAGGAAGTTGAGGTTGTATTTCGTGAGCCATGATCATGCCATCTTTTCAGACAGACAAAAGCTAAGAAAATTTATCTCCAGCATATTTGTATTATAAGAACTGTGAATATTATTTCTTTCAGCAGAAAGAAATGATATTAGAAGCCTGGTTCTGCAGAAAGAAATGAAGAGCACCGGGACAGTAAATATGCCAATAATTATAAGAACCTTTAAAAATAAATGTGTATGTGCATTCCACACATGTAGAAGCCTGATGACTATTTAGTGAAGAAATAATGTACTGTGGGTTTATAGCCTATGAATAATTAAAATACATAACAACAGGAGCACAATAGACAGGAGGGGAAGCTCTGAGGTATACTGAGGTTTTTACATTGCTCCTGAAGTAGTAAAATATTTTTAAATTAGGACTATGATAAATGAAAAAAAACCCCATAATATCTGATCAATCAAAAAAATAACAGAACAGACTCAAAAAGTCAATAGGAAAGATAAAACAAAATACTAAAAAATACTCAACCTCAAGAAAGGCAGCAAAGGAGTAAAAGAAAGGCAAGGAATATACAGGACAAATATAAAACAAACACCAAGATGGAAGGCCTAACAATAAACATGTAATAAATATATCAAGTGTAAAGGTACTACAGATACCGATTAAAAAACAAAGATTACTAAATTAGTTTTTTTAAAGCAAGAGCAACTATGTGCTGCTTACTAGAAATACATTAAACATTTCAATCAGATAGAAAAAGATATACAAATGCACACTCAAACATAAGGAAAGATGATGTGGCTACATTAACATCAGACACAGTGGACTTCAAGACTGAACATTACCAAAGACAAAAGAGGAGCATTTTATAATGATAAAAGGATAAATTCATTAAGAAGATATAAGAATCTCAAATGTGTCTACACCTAGTAATATTTATAAAGTAATAAAAGATATATGTATTTACACAACGGAATACCACTCAGCAAAGAACAAACTATGTATTTATTTATTTTTGAGACAGAGTCTCACTCTGTCACCCAGACTGGAGTGCAGTGGCACGATCTCAGCTCACTGCAACCTCCACCACTCGAGTTCAAACAATTCTCCTGCCTCAGCCTCCTGAGTAGCTGCTATTACAGGCATGAGTCAACATGCCTGGCTAATTTTTGTATTTTTGTCAAGACAGGGTTTCACTATGTTGCCCAGGTTGGTCTCGAACTCCTGACCTCAACTGATCCACCTGTCTCGGCCTCCCGAAGTGCCAGGATTATAGGCATGAGCCACCGCGCCTTGCCCAAACTACTTATTTAGACAAAAACATAGACGAACTTTAAAAAGCATTATCCTGAGTGAAGGAAGCCAGGCACAAAGGAATACATATTATGTGATTCAATCTATATTTTAAAAATTATGCAGGCAAAACTAATCTGTGGTGAGAGAAATGAGACTAGCGATTGCTTTGGCAGGAGTAGGGGAAAGAGTGGATCTCTTGGGAAGGATCCTAAGGGAATTTTCTGGGCTGACAGAAATAAATGTTCTAGATTTTGATAAAGATGCAGGTTACATGGATGCACACATATGCAAAACTGATCAAACTATACATTTAAATTCTGAGTTTCACTGTATAAATTATACCTCAATTTTTTAAGTTATATTTTAAAAAGAAATGCATTAAAAATAATTTTTTCATAGTCTATAAAGTTTCTTATAAATCTAATAATCTATAGAGCTAGAGAGCTTATAATCAAAATGAGGTATTTTTATATTTGATAATTTAATCAAAACAACCCTTTACAAAAACTGTGAAGTGATATTGACATGGGTTACAGTTTGGGTCTTTAAAATATTTTCATTATACTGTACTTTTAGTAGCTTTTATTTTTCTGCTACTAGGATTTGAATGAAGTTAGTGACAGATTATTTCCCAATCTGGAAAGGAGTGGGCACTTGGGAGAAACTCACAGATGCTGTTAGAAAATCGAGTAGATGGCCGGGCGTGGTGGTGCATGCCTGTAACCCCAGCACTTTGGGAGGCCGAGGTGGGCGGGTCACCTGAGGTCGGGAATTCAAGACCAGCCTGACCAACATGGAGAAACCCCGTCTCTACTAAAAATACAAAATTAGCTGGGGTGGTGGCACATGCCTGTAATCCCAGCTACTCGGGAGACTGAGGCAGGAGAGTCGCTTGAACCCAGGAGGTGGAGGTTGCGGTAAGCTGAGATCGCACCATTGCACTCCGGCCTGGGTGGGCAACAAGAGCAAAACTCCATCTCAAACAAAAAAAAAAAGAAAATCGAGCATATGAAATTTAGTACAATGATAGATGGGTACCACAACATCAGATCTGATTTAAAATATTCAAATACATTAAAAAGTTTAAAAATTACTTTCTTAAAATACACAGGTAAGCCTCACCCACAGTCAAACAAAACTGCAACACGTGCACCGCTCCTTCTTGTTTCAGAAAGTTCATAAAACGAAATAAAAGATCTTGTTGCTCTCTGATTTGCTTCAACTCTAACTTCAGCACCTTGACATAAGAGAAAGATTAAGTTTAAGCTACATAAATGAGTTCTAAAATTGTTTATATCAAAAAGGTGTTAATGCTGAAAATTCTTACAGATGGCTTTTTATTTCTAGGTTCTGCAAATTTCTGCAAGAATGGAACCAAAGGAGAAGCTGGTTCAGTTGCTTTTTCGGGCTTTGAAAGAAAGAGAATTATTAACTCAGTAAAATTCTCACTTGATTTGACATACAAAATCAAAATTCAATGCAATCTGAACTGTTTTCTAATACATTCAATACTCACTGGACTGTCATCTATGAAGATGATAAGCAAATGATTCACAGTATCCTAGTGGAAAATAATAAACATAAGTCAAAATAATTCCACTACTGTATTCTCCCAAGAATTTTCACAACTTGTATCATATTATGTAAGTTTCTAGAAAAATGAAAAAATAAATGGACCAGTGGTAAAAAAATCTGCACATATGTATTACAGCAGTTTTTTTACATCTACAAAAGAGGTTCTTAACCTTTGTGAAAATGGACAAATAAAAGCTATTCTGATTTTGGCATTTAAAGTATTTCTAAATCATTCTTAATTCTTCAAAATCTTACTGGATCAAAGGTAGAAGCATCCAACGTGTCCATCAATGGATGAACAGATAAGCAAAACATGTTATACACATACAATAAAATATTACTCAGCCTTGTAAAGGAAGGAAATTCTGACACATGCTACAACATGGATGAACCTTGAAGACACTATGCTAAGTGAAATAAGCCAGTCACAAAAAGACTCATACTTATGATTCCACTTATATGTGGTACCCAGAGTAGTCAAATTCATGGAGACAGAAAGCAGAATGATGGTTGCCAGGAGGGCTGGAGGGAGGAAGGAATGAGGAGTTATTGTTAACAGATGTAGAGTTTCAGTTTCATAAGATGAAGAGTTCTGGAGATGGGGAATGGGGATGTTTGCACAACATGAATGTTTTCAATATCACTGACTATATACATAAAAATGTTTAAGATACTAAATTTTATATTAAGTGTAATTTGTAACAATTTAAAAAAAAAATTTAAGTCTTACTGGATCAGCTAAGAAATCCAAAGAAGGAAGGAACACAGAGCCAGACAGAATCTCTCTTATAAGTAAAGTCAAAGATCTGGAAAAAGAAATAATAATAACAGTTTATATTTAGTGATTTATATTAGTTCTTAACTTTCAAGTGCATACGAATTACCTAAGGATCTTGTTAAAATGGAGACTATAATTCAGTAGGTCTTGGTTAGGCCCTAAAATTCTGCATTTCTAATGAACTCTCAACCAGTGTTCATGCTACTGGTTTGCAGACCACACATTGAATAGCAAAGAGTTAGAGTTCTTACTTGGCTAAAATAGAATATTACTTAAGAGAAAAAAAAGTATTCCTTAACAGGAGGAATGTGGAGGACATTAGGAAATACTCTCTATTGGCTGGGCAGGGTGGCTCATGCCTATAATACCAGAACTTTGGGAGGCTGAGGTGGGGGGATCACGAGGTCAGGAGTTCGAGACCAGTCTGGCCAACATGATGAAACCCCGTCTCTACTAAAAATACAAAAATTAGTTGGGCGTGGTAGTGCACGCTTGTAATCCCAGCTAATGGGGAGGCTGAGGCAGGAGAATCACTTGAATCTGGGAGGTGGAGGTTGCAGTGAGCTGAGATCACACCACTGAACTCCAGTCTGGGTGACAGAGCAAGACTGCATCTCAAAAAATAAAAAATAAAAAGAAAATACTTCCTACCTAAGAGTACTTAAATGTTTAATACATATTTAAATTAATATTTAATATTAATATATTTATAATCATATTTACTATTATAAACTAGTCTAGTATAAAAATCATGCAGTTCAAAATACTAAAATAATTTTAATCACATAAAAATTTTAAACAAAAAGTAGTATTTAAAGTATATCACTTTAAATATTACTAAAAATAAGACATGATTACTCCTCTAACGGTTATTAGGGTAAGAGTAACAAGGTAACTTACGGAATAATCTAAACATGCTCCAGCCAGAAAAATGAAGAACAGACTAAATGACCTCCAATTCTTTTTCCCAGTTGGATACCTTGAAACATAAACTCATCTATACAGTTTGTTTAAGTGTTTTTGCCTGTTATAGTTATAATGTGCATGTCTTTAAAGGGGAACACCAATGAAATAAAATATAATGATATAAAAAAATTTTATTCATATTTATATTTTATGTCCAAGATCAGTTTTAAAGAAAAATTCTAAGCTATACAACACACCACAAATAGCACTTAAATTGGCATTTTAAGACCATAATTAATAAATTATATATTAATACTTTAATAAATTTTTTCAAATGAAAAGCTATTCATAGGCTAACCTCAAATTTTAGTGTACTCCTGTCATAATCAAAAATAGCAATATACATATGGCATGTTACGCAAATACTATTATATTGTCTAGTCTTTTTATACCTGCAGTCTGTTGCTTTAGGAGGCAAAATATAAGGAAAAAGTAGTTCAGTAAGTTTCCTTAAATAGTGTAATTCATCTCTTCGACTTCTCAAAGCAACATGAAGCTCTGGACCATATTCTTCTAAAGCAGCTTGCTGTAAAAACTCTGTATTTTTCACTATAGAGATCAAAGATAAATATTGAAACAAGTTAAGTGATATTAAATAATTTCGGTCATTTCCACTAACAAACAGAAAAGCATGGGCTGGGCGTGGTGACTCATGCCTGTAATCCCAGCACTTTGGGAGGCCGAGGCAGGCAAACCGCTTGAGACCAGAAGTTCGAGACCAGCCTTGCCAACATGGCGCAATCCCGTCTCTACAAAAAATACAAAAATTAGCCAGGCATGGGGGCACAAGACTGTAGTCCCAGCTACTCAAGAGGCTGAGGCAGGAGAATTGCTTAAACCCAGGAGGCGGAGATTACAAGGCTGCAGTAAATGGAAATGTTTCCAAAAAAATATGTAACCAAGTCATTCCTTTCCTAACCTCTTTTCAATGTGCACTTTATTAGAAGTCTGTTTATTTTGCAATAAATTGATAAATGGACCCTCTTGCAAACAAAAATTTAAACTTATGTCTCTACAAGTTATATAAAATAATAGCAAATGATTAAGTGGAAAAAATTAGAGAAAACAACTTTTACAATTTCTAGCACACATAAGGCTTTTATTGCCAAATGCTCTATCTTCTTTATCCTCTCCAAAAGCAAAAACTATCCTACTCAAAATTATTATCTTTATTATTTTGAGACAAGGTCTCGCTCCATCACCCAGGCTGGAGGTATGCAGTGGTGTGATCTCGGCTCACTGTAGTCTCGACTCCTCGGCTCAAGCGATCCTCCCACTTGAGCCTCCAGAGTAGCTGGGCCCACAGGCGGGCATTCCTGTGCCCGGCTAATTTTTGTATTTTTTTGTAGAGATGGGGTTTTGTCATGTTGCCCAGGCTGGTCTCAAACTTCTGAACTGAAGCAATCTGCTCACTCCAGCCTCCCAAACTGCTGGGATTATAGGCCTCAATTTTTCTTTTTTTTTTTTTTTTTGAGGCAGAGTTTCGCTCTTACCCCCAGGCTGGAGTGCAATGGCATGATCTCGATTCACTGCAACCTCCACCTCCCAGGTTCAAGCAATTCTGCCTCAGCCTCCCTAGTAACTGGGATTATTACAAGCACCCACCACCACGTCCAGCTAATTTTTATATATTTTGTAGAGACGGGGTTTCACCATGTTGACCATGTTGGTCTGGAACTCCTGACTCCAGGTGATTCACCCACCTCGGCCTCCCAAAGTGCTGGGATTACAGGCATGAGCCACTGCACCTGGCCTCAAAAGTCTTCAATTGCATCTGCTTTCACATCCAAGTAACCTTTTAAAGCATTTAGAGTATCAAAACACGCCCTCAGCCCTCAGACAAAATGGAATCCCCCTAGCTGAGAAACTCAAATTTAAAATAGATCCAGGCCACTATAGCTGGTGAGGAAGCAGTTATATACTCTGTGTTCTCAGAAAGATGCTATGAAACTTTTTCATACGACCTCCCTTTCTACAATCAAGCAAAACCAGTTCCTGTGGTTGGGAGCCAAGATGAACTGTGGCTGGAAATCCCCTCCCTCTAGAAGCCATTTCAAAGAAACATCTGTCAAATTTCTGGTTTTGGGCCTGGAAACCAACCAATCAGGGCTCCCCTGAACCAACCAATGTAAGCTCACCTGTCCCAGCCAATCAGGATTCAGCAGTATCAACCAATCAGAACTCAGCCACACTGACCAATCAGATTGTAATCCTTCATCTGCATAAAGAGGCCTGATTGGGAACCTGGGAAGGCACTCTTGCTATAAAACCAGAACTCTTTGTCCTCTGGAATGCAGCTTTGTTTCAGAAGAAGGCTATGTTTCCCTGGTTTGCACACTGTTCCCTGAAACGAAGTCTCTTTACTCTCAAATCCCTTTTCAGAGAACTTGTGTTCACAATAGAATCTGGCTTCATTGGTTAAGTTCTGGATCTTCTGCCCAGAGCAGAGGACATAGGAAATATAATACTATTTAAAGTAGAAACCCATGAAAGGCTAGATTTCTTAATAAATACTAACTGATAATAAAAGTTATGTTAGCAAAGTTTTTTTTTTAGACCTGGCAATAACTAGTATTTTCAAATGTAAAATTAATAGTATTGTTCCTTCTATAGACCTCAAAAGACTAAGTGGAAAGGCAAGTGATGCTTTTCCCTTTCTGCACTTGGTGCAGTTTTTTCAAATCATGGAGTCTGTGTTGGGAATCTTAACCCTAATTCAATGGCATTTATTTTAGAACTATTTCCTTCTGTGTTTATTGAAATAGAATGCAAGCATATTCATACACACAAAAAAAGGCATTATATGCATTCCAATAGTGTGAGTACTGAGATGGAGCAGCAATCCTTCTTAGGGGCCTGCCAGGACCCTCAGCATAAAAATAAAGAAAAAACTTTTGAGTCCCAAGGGAAATTGCAGGCACCTAAGCTAGCCCTACAACCAGCAATTAGGAAAGTGAGTGAATAACTTGCTAAACAAGAAAATAATAACATAAACAACAGCCACCCAAGTAAGCCAGAGTCCCAAGATGTTTGGTTCCCTACAGAAACTAAAGATAAAATTGTAACATATGTCCTTGAATTATTTTTCAGAAACCTGGACCCCCACTAGATAGAACATGTCAACCACTGTCATGGAGACCTCAGACAAGGGGGAACTGAGGACTGAACTCTAACCACTGATCTTTGTTCTAAATTTCTTCCTGAGGGGCCTGGAGAGAGTTACACCCACAGATCAAGCCTTAACATTCCTTTCTGCTAACCCCAGGTTTTTAGACAAAGCCTTGCTTTCTTAACCAACTGCAAACCAGACTCTCTGAATCCACCTATCACTTGTAAGCCCCCACTTCAAGATATCCCAGCTTTCTGAGTCAACCCATGTATAACCTTCATGTACTGACTTACAATTTTACATGTAACTTTTGCTTCTTGAAATTTACCCCAAGTCTAAAAACCCTTGCTTGTATGCCACTGGGGAATTCAGGTCGTAAGCAGTAGCTCCTTGTTCTCCTTGTTAGCAATAAATGCCTCACGTTCCCTTGCTGAAAATCCCAGTGTCAGTGCTTGCTTTTTTTCTGCACACTGGGAAAGCAGACCCGAGTTCAGCTTGGCAACAGTACTAAAAAGGTAAATCAAGGCTATCTGGACTTGTGGGTCTAAAGCGGGATTAGCAAAGGACATAGTTTTTATAAGAAATGCATTTTAAATTATTTGCCAAGCTGTTTTTCATTAGAATTTGGGGCATGGGTCTTTTAGAAATTTATATCATGAACATAAAAGTTAAAACTCTCTGCACAGTATCTTAGCACAGTAAGCTGTGCTAAGTCCCAGTTCTACTTCTTTATTGATAAGATTTTAAACAAATGAAACAATCCCTTTGAGCTTTAGAATCTGTATCAGGCCGGGCATGGTGGCCACGTCTGTAATCCCAGCACTTTGGGAAGCCGAGGTGGGCAGATCACAAGGTCAGGAGATCGAGACCATCCTGGCTAACATGGTGAAACCCCATCTCTGCTAAAAAAATACAGAAAAAATTAGCCGAGTTTGATGGCAGGCACCTGTAGTCCCAGCTACTCAGGAGGGTGAGGCAGGAGAATGGCGTGAACCCTGGAGGCAGAGCTTGCAGTGAGCCGAGATTGCGCCACTGCACCCCAGCCTGGGCAACAGAGCAAGACTCCTTCTCAAAAAACAAAAAAGAATCTGTATCAGTAAACAGTTATTAACACTGAAAAGTCATAATATAATATAGGTAAGTAATTATAATATTTAGTGTGATTAAGCATTCATACATAATATATAAATTAAATCACCAGATTGGAATCTACTATGGTCAGACATAAGGGACTTTTATAATCCTAGGTGATAAGAAATTAAAGGAATCAGGCAAAATATTTTAAAGTGGGGGAAAACACCGTAACTGGGAATATAAGCAAAACAGAGATGCTAGAATACAAAGCACGGATTAATTTCCACTGATCACCAGTATATTTAATGCCTAATCAGTTGGCAGTTTTCAGACCACAAAAGGAAAGGTCCACAAAATCCATGATAAAGAGGTATCTTCAGGTTGAAAGTCTGGAGTAAAGTCCCACACAATCATTATCCAATTTACATTATATATATATATGTATATAAATGTTGAATATACACATATATTCATATATTGCATACATACATATATGTGTATATACACACACACATATATATATATTCAACATTTCTAAGAGCCATGGAAGTACTTACATAGACAAATTCTATATAATGCCTATTCTCAAGAAGAAGATTGAGCAGAGAATGCCAAGACAGAGAAGACAACTATGGATGAAGAAATGAAACTTTACTTCCTGAATTATGCTTACATGTAGAGCCAAAGAACTCAGAAAACAAATTTATACATTAAAAGAAATGAAAAATCAAAAATTTGAAAACCTTTTAGAACACTGGGATCTTGGGATAAAACAAGGGCCCTCCTAATTCTCTGAGCCTTTACTTCTATGGACTTCATTAATTATGATGATTACAATGTTATTAATGAATCCAATCTAACATTTTAGGGTGACTTTATAATTGAGGATGATTTTTTGCATAGTAGTAAATTAGCAACTTCTCTCACAAAAATTCAGTGATAAATTTTAGTCAAATTAGTTTATATTATGTATCACTCTCCTTTTTTTTTCTTCTTTTTTTCAGACAGGGTCTTGCTCTGTTGCCCAGGCTGGAGTGTAATTGGGTGATTACAGCTCACTGCAGTCTCAAACTCCTGGGCTCTAGAAATCCTCCTGCTTCAGTTTCCCAAGTAGCTAGGACTTACAGGCACATGCCACCACACTCAGCTAATTTTTTTATTTTTTTGTAGAGACAGGGTCTCACTATGTTGCCCAGGCTTGTCTCAAACTCCTGGGCTCAAGTGATCCTTCAGCTTCAGCCTTCCAAAGTGCTGGGATTACCAATGTGACATATATATATAACGTCACTCTCATAGAGACAAACTAATTTGGGGATTTTACTGAACTCATCAATTCTACTAAAAGTTTAAAGATGACCCCATTTACTCATAGTCTGAGAGGCTTCTTGTCTTTGTCTTTAGAACAAAATTAAAACTGTATTAAAAATAATTGTTCCATACAAAAACCTACAAATGCTTATAACGGCATTATTTATAATTGCCAAAAATTGGACCAAGATGCCCTTCAATTGGTGAATGGATAAACGAAGTGTGGTATATCCATACAATGGAATATAGTTGAGTAGTAAAAATAAATGGGTTATCGAGCCATGAAAAGATAAAGGTTAAATGTATATTGCTAACTGAAAGAAATCCATCTGAAACATATTGTATGATTCCAACTATATAACATTCTGGAAACGTCAAAACTGTAGAGACAGTAAAAATATCAGTGGTTGCCAGGAATTCTCAGAGGAAAGAAGGATGAACAGAGAAAGCACAGGGGATTTTTAGGGCAGGGAAACTATTCAGTATGCTACTGTAATGATGAATACATGATTATACATTTGTCAAAATCCATAGAATGCATAACGTAAAGAGTAAAACCTAATGCGGCCAGGCATGGTGCTCATGCCTGTAATCTCAGCATTTTGGGAGGCCAAGGCGGGTGGATCAGCTGAGGTCAGGAGTTCGAGACCAGCCTGGTCAACATGGTGAAACTTCGTCTCTACTAAAAATAACAAAATTAGCCAAGCGTGGTGGTGCAGGCCTGTAATCCCAGCTACTTGGGAGGCTGAGGCAGGAGACTCACTTGAACCCAGGAAGCGGAGGTTGCAGTGAGCCGAGATCGTGCCATGGGACTCCAGACTGGGCAACTAGAGCAAAACTCTGTCTCAAAAACAAACAAACAAATAAACAAACAAACAAAAAACACCAAAAACCTAAACTACAGACTTTAGTTAATAATGATGTATCAATATTGGTACACTGATTATAATAAATGTATTAAGTAATGTAAGATGTCAATGCTAGGAAAAAGTGAGAGTATATGAGAACTCACTGTACTTTCTGCTCAATAATTCTTCTGTAAATGTAAAATTGCTCTAAAACATAGTATCTACTGATTTAAAGAAAAATACTTTTCCTATACATTCTTCTGACAGTAAAGTAGCCTTTACAACACGACAATTAAGTTATATGTACTTGGCCAGGCACAGTGGCTCGCACCTGGAATCTCAGCACTTTGGGAGGCCGAGGCAGGCAGACTGCTTGTGCCCAAGAGGTTGAGACCAGCCTGAGCAACATAGTAAGACCTCATCTCTAAAAGAAAAATTTTTTTCAATTTAAAAAGAAAAAGAAAGTTATGTGTACTCAAACTCTTTCACATTCTTTTTTTTTTTTTTTTTTTTTTTAAAGATAGAGTCTCGCTCTATCTACCAGGCTGGAGTGCAATGGTACAATCTCTGCCTACCACAACCTCCGCCTCCTGGGTTCAAGCCATTCTCCTGCCTCAGCCTCCTGTGTAGCACCGCCACACCTGGCTAATTTTTGTATTTTTAGTAGACATGGGTTTCACCATGTTGGCCAGGCTGGTCTTGAACTCTATCTGATCTCAAGTGAGCTGCCCACCTTAGTCTCCTAAAGTGCTGGGATTACAGGCATGAGCCCACCACACCCAGCCTCATCTTTTTTTTAAACTATGTTGAAGGTAAAATTATTTTTACTTGTTATAAGATGAACACAGAATAATTTTTAAATATATAATTTAAAACAATGCTGATATCTGAGGAAATACTCATATCAAAGGGCAAATAAACTAATAATTTCATTTAACTTCAAATCTACCTATAGCATAATTGCCCAAAATGTTTTTTGACTAAAATAATTGATACTATGTGGGGGAGAAAAGTGGTTCCAGGTTCAAATGAATTTGGAACGTGCTATGTTAAAGTTAAAGCTATTTCACTGCTGCGGGACTACCCAAAGCTTTTGGTGTGCTCCTACCTAATGGGAATTTCTACAAGGGGAATACAATAGTAATTAACAAAAAATATGACCATGAAACCTCTTCTGGTCATATGGTCATGTGTGTAGAGTGGTATTCTGCAGAAGATACTTCAGAAACTATTGACAAAAAAGAATACCAAATGCAAATACAAGGAAAATCTCAGTTTCACGAACTAAGTATAGTGCATAGAAGTAGTTTTGTCAAAAAGAAACATTTTAGAGCTTGATCTTAGAGCATGAAAAGTCTCAAATGAGGATTCCACTCATTCACTCAGAAAAAATCTTGCAGGATATAGTAAGGAAAGGAGGAAAGGAAAGAAGGAAGGGAAAACATTTAATGAACATACGCTATGTGCAAATCATGATAGTAAAAAGGACAGAACATACATGAGAAGCAGCAAACAGGTCATCATGGCTAAAGCATAATATAGTGAAAGACAAGACTAGATCTAATATCTGACTAGACAGAAAAGGATTTAAATACACAGTTTAGATGCTATGACAGTCACTGAATTTTTTTTAGCAGAAAGACAATATGAGACTTGTCATATCATAAAAGTAACCTAGCAGCAATAAAAAGGATGGGCTAGAATAGATCAAAACCATCGAAATCATTAAGGAGAAAGGGTGAAGAGAAATGAAAACTACTTCAGAGAAACAGATTATCATTCAAAACTGACTACGAGTGTCAGCGGTAAAGTTAACTTTTATTTTAATTTTTAAAGGTTCTCAAGTTTTCACACAGTATTAACAAACTACTGAAAGAGATTTCAGTTTAAAAGAATACACTCACATCAACTGTGAAAATATAAGTTAATGAATCAGTACTCATATTTAGATATTTCAGGTGAAAATTGGTGTATAAAAACAAAATCACTCAAACTATAGTAGAAAACTGTATTACCTTTCTGTCTGGCTTTAACTATCACTTCTATATGCTTCATTGCTGCTTTTAATAGTTTCTTGGTTATAATAGATGGAATATCCACCTAGAAAAATTCAACATTAAAACTTTTAAAATAATTATTACTAAGTTACAATGGCAAGTACACTACAATTATGATATTGGAATATATCTTAAAAATTAGAAGTATTCAGAATCTTTCAAAAATAACACTTTATATTCCTGCATCATACTAAACTGTAACATTAGATAATTTTTTTTACCCACAGTACTGAAAATTAATCTTAATATGTATACCTTAAATACTAAATCTTTCCCACAAAATAGTATCTTTATTCCTAGCTTCTTTACGTGTTCTTCGTATTAAATGCATTCAAGGAAAACTCCAGTAACTTAAGTAACTTATTACTCCTTTGATGTTGTAAATTTGTGATTAGTAAGAAATTACTTGAAAATGAACTTTCTCATTCAGCTTACAAGATAAATCCTGGTTTGTTTTTTGGGTTTTTGTTGTTTTTTTGAGACAGGGTCTCATACCGGCTGCCCATGCTGGAGAGCAGTGGCACCATCTCACTGCAGTCTAGTCTCCCAGGCTCAGGTGATTCTCCCACCTCAGCCTCCGGGGTAGCTGGGAATACAGGCACATGCCACCATGCCCAGCTAATTTTTTGTATTTTTTAGTAGGGACGGGGTTTCGCCATGTTGCCCAGGCTGGTCTCCGACTCCTGGACTCAAGTAATCCATCCACCTCAGCCTCCCAACAGCCTCCCAAAGTGCTGGGATTAAAGGCATTAGTCACCATGCCCAGCAGGAATCCTGGCTTCAAGATATATGGAAACATCCTATTTTAGAATAAAATTAAGTTTCATCATTCCCCATCAAGATTTTTCAACCTAAAGGCTAGAAGCTGCAGTGATAATGATAGGTTAGTGAGGGAGGGCTGAGGGCTTATATGCACACACGGAAAACAGGAAAAACAATAACTAAAAATAAATTATAAATAAATCAACAAAAAGCATATTTATTTGACTTCAATAGGCCTGTATTCCACCATAAAACTTAATACATTATATATTTCCTTTATCAAAGGCATGAGAAAATTCCATCACAATAGTGTTAATTTTTCAATTCTTTTTAAACTCCATATTAAAGAAGGGAACAAAATCCCAGGGTGATTAATCTAGTAAGTATGATGGATCATAAACCCTCAAATTTTAATGATTTGCTGATAAAACCCAGATCAAACACATTCAGTAAGAAGGGATATTCTTGCTGGTATTACACCTTGTCGAAAATAACATCACTCTTCATTTGCCCTTGGCCACTTGGTACTCGCTTATAAATTACTCTCATATTTATCAAATAAACAAGATGTTATAGTTTTCAAACATTTTGTAAAATCTTGTCTTCTGAGAATACTAAGATTTTTATTTGTAAGTTCCACTTTAGGGAATTCAGGTCAGAATTAAAATGGTAAAATAATGGGTCTGTCACTAAACTTTGATTTTTAAAAAATTGTAGACCCTAAATGATTCTATGTTTTCATTATTCCCAAACTTCCAATTTACATTATGCAGGCAACAGAATCATGAACAGAACATTGTAGAAGGTATAAGATGACCAAGGCCTAATCTTTTGCCCTTTAACATCTGCTAACATCTGCTAACACTTTAACAAAGTTAATACCTTTCTATAAAATGAATATAATAATGACCCATTTATCTTCCAGGATAGTGATGCAGATAAAATAGGAGCCATCATATAATTCAGAAAATCAAAGAAAATATTTTGCGAGTCATTTATCTGATAAAGGACTTGTATCCACATAAATAACTTTTACAACTCAGTCATAAAAAAATAACCCAGTTATGCAGGTAAGGAATCTGCATCAGCATCAGCCCACGACCACACTTAAGAGTTAACAGTGATGAGGTATACGTCCTTAATATATGGATTAATAAGCTTTAATATATGAACTTTGTTTTCAAAGTGGAAAAATACCACACATACTAAGTTTCCAGCCTGTTCACTTGACTGTTTCTTTTTTCTTTTGTATTTTTTTTTCCTTTTTCTTTCTAACTTTTATGTTAGGTTCAGGGAGTACATGTGTAGGCTCGTTACATGAGTAAATTGCATGTCATGGGGGTTTGGTGTACAAATTATTTCATCATCCAAGTAATGAATGCAGTACCCATAAGTAGTATTTTGATCCTCATCCTCCTCCCACTCTCCAGCCTCAAGTAGGTCACCACGTCTATTGCTCCCTTCTTTATGTCCATGTGTACCCAATGTTTAGCTCCTACTTATAAATAAGAACATGCAATATTTGATTTTATGTTCCTGTGTTAATTCACCTAGGACCAGCTGCATCTATGTTGCTGCAAGGAACATGATTTCATTGCTTTTTATGGCTGCATAGTATTCCATGGAGTACATGTACCACATTTTCTTTATCTAGTCCACTACTGATGGGTATCTAGGTTGTATCTAGGTTGATTCCATGTCTACAATTTATATTCCTCTGGATTCTGTTCTAAGTTCTTTTAGAAATCTCCAAACTGCTTTCCACAGTGGCTGAACTCATTTGCATTCCCACCAGCAGCATATAAGCATTCCCTTTACTTGACTATTTAAGATAAATATTTTCCCTTGGAAAAAAAGTATTATTCTACAAAATGATTGTTCATGGTTGTGTAGAATTCTATAATTAGGATGTATTATATTTACTCAACTAACAATCTTAGTAGACATCAATTTTTCTTTTCAGTTTTACTTATAAATTATACTGCAATAAATCTTTGAACATACTTTTCTTTTTTTTTTGAGACAGAGTCTTGTTCCGTTGCCCAAGCTGGAGTGCAGTGGTGCGATCTCGGCTCACTGCAACCTCCGCTGCCTGGGTTCAAGTGATTCTCCTGCCTCAGCCTCCCAAGTAGCTAGGATTACAGGTGCGCGCGATTACACCAGGCTAATTTCTTTGTATTTTTAGTAGAGATGAGGTTTCACCATGTTGGCCTGGCTGATCTCAAACTCCCAACCTCCAGTGATCCGCCCGTCTCAGCCACCTCGTATTACAGGCGTGAGCCACGGCGCACGGCCTGGAGTATAGATATTTTTAAGTCTTAATAAAGATTACACCCTCAAATGTGAGAATTATACCAATTTGAATTTGAGCTTGTTTTCCATACATCACCATTACTAGATATTAACACTCTTTTTTACCTTTCCCAGTCTGATAAGTAAAAGAATAGTATCTCATTAAAACATATTTATTTGCTGTGAGACAACATACTTTCAAGTGTTTACTGGCCATTTTGTATCTTTTTTTTGCGAACTACTATATGTTTTTTGCACATCTTTTCTCTAGCAGTTGACTATACTGTTCATTTCTCAAATAGGTATAGAATAATTTAACAAGATTAATCTTTATTACTAGTGGCAGAGATATTGTATATTAATACATTGTCAATATGTTCAATGTGTCAATACTGAACTGACAAAGCAGTAGAAAAGTGTGTGTGTCTACAGACAATATACTACAAATATATATAGGCAACAATCCAAATATGCACAAAATACAGCTCAAGAAAAATATGTGTTTTGTTTTATTTTGTTTCATTTTGTTTGAGAGAGAGTTTCGCTCTTGTTGCCCAGACTGGAATGCAACGGCGCGATCTTGGCTCACTACAACCTCCACCTCCCAGGTTAAAGCAATTCTCCTGCCTCAGCCTCCTGAGTAGCTGGTATTAGAGATGCCCGCCCCCATACCTGGCTAATTTTTTGTGTTTTTAGTAGAAACGGAGTTTCGCCATGTTGGCCAGGCTGGTCATGAACTCCTGACCTCGAGTGGTCCACCCACCTAGGCCTCCCAAAGTGCTGGGATTACAGGCATGAGCCACCGCTCCTGGCTGAGAAAAATATTTTTTAAAGTAGACCACAATCATTGCTATTTACTCAATAAATTCATCTAACTGGAACATGACTTTTTTTTCTTTATTATTATTATACCTTAAGTTCTAGGGTACATGTATACAACGTGCAGGTTTGTTACATATGTATACATGTGACATGTTGGTGTGCTGCACCTGTTAACTCATCATTTACATTAGGTATATCTCCTAATGCTATCCCTCCCCCCCCTCCCCCCACCCCATGACAGACCCTGGTGTGTGATGTTCCCTACCCTGTGTCCAAATGTTCTCATTCTTCAGTTTCCACCTATGAGTGAGAACATGTGGTGTTTGGTTTTCTGTTCTTGCGATAGTTTGCTAAGAATGATGGTTTCCAGCTGCATCCATGTCCCTACAAAGGACATGAACTCATCCTTTTTTATGGCTGCATAGTATTCCATGGTGTATATGTGCCACATTTTCTTAATCCAGTCTATGATTGATGGACATTTGGGTTGGTTCCAAGTCTTTGCTATTGTGAATGGTGCCGCAATAAACATACGTATGCATGTGTCTTTATAGCAGCATGATTTATAATCCTTTGGGTATATGCCCAGTAATGGGATCACTGGGTCAAACGGTATTTCTAGTTCTAGATCCTTGAGGAATCGCCACACTGTCTTCCACAATGGTTGAACTAGTTTACAGTCCCAACAGTGTAAAAGTGTTCCTATTTCTCCACATCCTCTCTAGCACCTGTTGTTTCCTGACTTTTTAATGATCGTTATTCTAACTGGTGTGAGATGCTATCTCATTGTGGTTTTGATTTACGTTTCTCTGATGGCTGGAACATGACTTTTTTCTGTAGCTGTCTTTTCATTTCTAATTTCTACAAACCAAAATAAGCATTAAAATGAAAGAAAGCAAAACTGATCAATGGATCAAAAAATATTCACTAATTTTTTAATCTAAAATAATGAAGACAAAACAAATATACATGGTATACGAGAAAGTAAAAATAAGGGTTAAGTCTGGGCGCAGTGGCTCACGCCTGTAATCTTAACACTTTGGGAGGCCGAGGTGGGCTGATCACAATGTCAGGAGATCGAGACCATCCTGGCTAACATGGTGAAACGCTGTCTCTACTAAAAATACAAAAAAATTAGCCGGGTGTGGTGGCACGCTCCTGTAGTCCCAGCTACTTGGGAGGCTGAGGCAGGAGAATCACGTGAACCTGGGAGGCAGAACTTGCAGTGAGCCGAAATCATGCCACCGCACTCCAGCCTGGGCAACAGAGCAAAACTCCGTCTAGAGAAAAAAAAAAAAAAAGTTTGAAATAATCCCCTAAAAGATACACTTAGAAAGAGTACGACCTAGTATTTGATAAAGCAGGGTGACTATAGTCAATAATTTAATTGTACATTTAAAAGTAACTAAAAGAGTATAATTTGATTGTTTGTAACACAAATGATAAATGCTTGAGGGATAGATACCCCATTTTCCATGAGGTGATTATTACTTACCACATGCCTGTATCAAAGTATCTCATGTAGCCCACAAACATGTACACTTGCCATGTACCCACAAAAAATTGTTTTAAATCTCTTTCATTAAATGATAAAGCCCCAAATTCCCAAATTTCTCATCAAAAATATATACCTTGTGAATCCTTCTTATTAAGACAGATGCAAAAAACCGTAATGTTATTCTCAGTTCATCAACAAAGGATTCATCATCTGTCACATCCCTTCAATAAGGAGAAAAACAAATATTCAGAAGTTCAGAGAAATACAGTTTCACTTTCTACAAACCAAGGGAAATTTTTCCTTTTTTCTGTTTACTTAAGCTACTTTTCTTTTTTCATTTACAAATAATACATTTCACTGTAGAACAGTAAGAAATGTACAAAAAATAAAACATCTACCATAAATCTAGCATCAAGACATAATCACTATTAACTAAATTATAACATATATTTCCTTGCAGATATACACAACTACATAGTCTTATTTTTACAATACTGAGATCATGTTCTAAGCAACATCAAAGAAAGTTCAAAGAAATAAAACAATGAATAACTTTGGAGAAGCAATAGAATTAATACAAAATTTTTAACTAGCTTAAAATACTTATAAAATAATATAAATTCTAAAACTAAAACAAAAAAGGTATGCTCCATTTGAAAAAGAAATTTAATGAACTGAAACTCAGACATTTTGTAAAACAGAAATTCTGACAACCTTCAACTGAGGAGTTACATTTTCCTGATGTTTGAAGGGCCCTAGAATTAGAACACTTCCCTAATTAAAGGCAAGAAAAGAAATGATGATATCTGTAACTCAATGATGGTATTGTTAACTTTCTTGGCAGAATAGGAAAGATAATTGTATCAACCATGCTTCCCACGATTAACCGGAAAGAAAGGGATATTACAGCATCAATAGCTACAACTGAGAAGAAAATATTTACTTTCACACTTAGAAATACAACTAGATTTTATGTCTAAAGTGTCATAATGCAGAGATGGGAGAAGGTAAGGGAGTCTTCAAGAAAAGATTCATTTTACAAAAGGCCTCACCATCAGCTTTAATTAAATGACAAATGCCAGATATTTAAGGCAGAATCAAATGTTTAAATTTACATAGCTCTCCAGGAAAATATGGCATAGAAACGATATTAAATTTGTCTTAAACACTCTGGGTGAATTCAACTAGTAGCTTTTTTTTTTTTTTTTTTCCAGACGGAGTCTCGCTCTGACACTTAGGCTGGAGTGCAGTGGCGGGATCTCAGCTCACTGCAAGCTCCGCCTCCCGGGTTTACGCCATTCTCCCACCTCAGCCTCCCTAGTAGCTGGGACTACAGGCGCCCGCCACCTCGCCCGGCTAGTTTTTTGTGTGTGTATTTTTTAGTAGAGACGGGGTTTCACCGTGTTAGCCAGGATGGTCTCGATCTCCTGACCTCGTGATCCGCCTGTCTTAGCCTCCCAAAGTGCTGGGATTACAGGCTTGAGCCACTAAGCCCGGCTTTTTTTTTAATTAGAAATTTCAGTCAGGCATGGCGGCTCACACCTATAATCCTAATACTTTGGGAGGCCGAGGTGGGCAGATCACTTGAGGTCAGGAGTTTGAGACCAGCCTGACCAACATGGCGAAACCCCGTCTCTACTAAAAATACAAAAATTAGCCAGGCATAGTGGCACACACCTGTAATCCCAGCTTCTTGGGAGGCTGAGGTGGGAGGATGCCTTTAACCTGGGAGGTGGAGGTTGCAGTGAGCTGAGATCGCGCCACTGCACTCCAGCCTAGGCAACAGAGTAAGACTCCATCTCAAAAAAAAAAGAAAAGAAAAGAAAAGAAAAGAAAATTCAAAATAGACTGAATCAATATAAAACTAGGGTAGATGTCATTAAACATCATATGTACAAGCCATGGAGGTGCAAGTGTTCAAATATATATTAAACACATGATGCTGATTTAAGAAAATATGTATTTATGGCTGGGTGCAGTGTCTCAAGCCTGTAATCCCAGCACTTTGGGAGGCCGAGACGGGCGGATCACGAGGTCAGGAGATCGAGACCATCCTGGCTAACATGGTGAAACCCCGTCTCTACTAAAAAAATACAAAAAAAACTAGCCAGGCGAGGTGGCGGGCGCCTGCAGTCCCAGCTATTCGGGAGGCTGAGGCAGGAGAATGGCGTGAACCCGCGAGGCGGAGCTTGCAGTGAGTTGAGATCCGGCCACTGCACTCCAGCCTGCGACAGAGTGAGACTCTGTCTCAAAAAAAAAAAAAGAAAATATGTATTTATTACATGATATAAGTTGGATCTCTCTAATTTCAAAATAGATTTCTGTCAAATCTAAAGTATTTTCTGTATCTTCAAAAGCATAAGGCCCTTGTACATACATGGCATACACCAAAAACAAGGTACTTGGGGGAAAAAAACCCATTAATTCTCCAGGAAAACTACTGAAGCTATCTTTCAATTTAATGAAATATGTGAATACATATTCCCCTCCAAAAGGTATAATTATTTCAAAGGTGAAAACTGCATACAAAATTATTAAATCACTATATTTAGAAGTGATAAGGAATTCTACAAGTTACTTTTCTTTCAAAACACAGACTAAGTTTTCTTCCTCTTTATCACCAAATTATTAACTGACTGATGCCTACATCAGTGGTTCTTAACTAGGGCCAATTATGCCTTCCAGGTCATATCTGGCAACCTCTGAAGACATTTTTATTGGTCACAACTGGTGGCAGAGATGTCTGCTACTAGTATCTAATGGGAGAGGCCAGGGTGCTAATTATGTAATGCACAGTACTGCCCCCACAACAAATAATTATTTTGGCTAAAATGTCAACAATGACAAAGTTGAAAAATCCTAGTCTACACCAAAAACATGTCATTAACATGCTTAACTTAGTAGTATTCACTGTATCAAAGAAAAAAGATCTTATAAAAAGAACATACCTGTACCACGGATAAACGAAGTTTTCCAACACTAATTCGAGAACCTGCATAAAAATTATTTTTTAAAGAAAAATAAAACGAATTAGTTTTTGGAAAATAAACGGTACTATTTGGTAATATGTAACATTACCAAGAACCAATTTTATTATCACAAATAAAGACAGCAGGCCGGCAGCAGTGGCTCACACCTGTAATCCCAGCACTTTAGGAGGTCAAAGCAGGTGGATGGCTTGAGTTCACGAGTTAGAGACCAGCCTGGGTAACTTGATGAAACCCTGTATCTACAAAAAACACAACAATAAGCTGGGTGTAGTGGCGTGTACCTGTAGTCCCAGCTATCTGGGGGGCTGAGGCAGGAGTTTCGCTTGAGCCTGAGAGGCAGAGGTTGCAGTGAGCCAAGATGTTGCCACTGCACATCAGCCTGGGCGACAGGGTGAGGCTCTGCCTCAAAAAAAAACCAAAAACAAAAACAAAAAAACAAATAACGACAGTAATATAATACTTTCACATGACAAAATGTATATTTCAACCTTATATGATTGTGAGGATCAAAGAAAACATATGAGAAAACACTTGGAAAATCATAAAAATTTCACAAATAGGAAAAGTTACTATTAGAATGGCATGCACATATTTCTAAATATTTCCATAATCAAACAAAAAGTTAAATAAATTGTTGCTGACTCTGAAGCTTAACTGAACCAAAAATGTGCTATGGAAAGAAGAAAAACAGCAAGTTAGTCCTTTCCATTCCTAACTTTGTAAGTCAGTATTTTCAGAATATAATGAAGAAACAAGCAGCTAAGATTTACATAAGGGGTCAAAATTAGGTGTTAGTGGTTACCTTTGAAGGGAGTATAGTGGCTAGAGGGGAACACAAAGGGGAGTTCTGGGATGCTGGTAATGTTTTGTTTCCTGATCTGAATGCTGGTTACACAGATATGTTTGCTTTGTGAAAATTTTACCTGTACACTCAAATCAGTACATAAGTTATGTAAGTGAAAATGTAACAAAACAAAATAAAACAAACCGTGGGTGTTAAATCTTCCATTTCTTGGATTTGGGTATAGCAGTATGTCATAATTTTTACAAGGAGTTGCAACATTGGGCAGTAACTTACAAAAGCAGTAGGGAGGGAAGAAAACGACATATCTAATCTAATGCTTCCAAAATCAGATCATATATTTTCTCTGGTAGCAATAATAAAGATTGTGAATTTTCTAGTTTAAGTATTAAGGGAACAATAATTTAGATGTTTTAGTACAAACACTAAGCACTGCTTATATGTGTTGGGAAATGAAAATACATATAAACAGGGATAACAATGAACAATGAATAGGATAGAGAGGAGACTAGAACAGGTTATCGTTAAACATTTGTTCTTCCTTTATTCCCCACATCCAACCAATCAAGTCCTACTGATTTTATATCCTAAGTAGTGTTTTTCTTTTCTTTTTCTTTTTTTGAGACGGAGTTTCACTCTTGTTGCCCAGGCTGGAGTGCAATGGCGTGATCCCGGCTCACCTCAACCTCCGCTTCCAGGGTTCAAGCGATTATCCTGCCTCAGCCTCCCGAGTAGCTGGGATTATAGGCATGTGCCACAACGACCAGATAATTTTGTGTTTTTACAAGAGATGGGGTTTCTCCATGTTGGTTAGGCTGGTCTCGAACTCCCGACCTCAGGTGATCCACCCACCTCGGCCTCCCAAAGTGCTGGGATTATAGGCGTGAGCCACCGCGCCCAGCGGGTCCTCATTTTCTTACCCCTTATATTGCAGCAATGGCCTCTCAACTCCCTGCTTCCAAGCTCGCTCCCCTCCATCCTAAATAGAGCTGCCAAAGTAACCTAAAACATACATTTGACCACATCATCCTCTTGCATGAAATCCTCAATATATAAGAAAGGTGAAATTGCACTGATTTTGAAAGGGACCTGCTGGCATGAAGCAGTTGCATCACTTCCTTTTCACTCTCAGTGTACCCTATGAGTCACATCTAAAAATTCTAGAAAATCATCGACTTCCAGGATCAATTAATCTAAGTTCCATCAACATAGCCCTTAAAGTCATTTGATAGTCTTATTTCTAAAGGGCCATATACAATCCTGATTAAGAACTTAACCAGACCTGAGTTTTTTATTGAGTTCTGTAATCAACCAAATATGAAACTTGAGAAAATTATTAAAATTCTAAATTCCATTTACCTTTGGTAAAATTATCAATAATAGTACCCACTTCATAGGTTATACGTAGATTACATGAAATAATGAGCTTAGCACAATGCCTAATATACAGTAAGTATATCATAAATACTAGCTACTAGAATATTGTTTCCTTATTGCCCATATCCTCCCTCACACTTTACTCTCCAGTTTGCTGAACATTCCACCTTGTTTCAAGCCTCTCTTTCCTTTTGAAAGCTCTACCCAAATCCTGAAATACCCTTTCCCACACTATTAGTCTGGCAAACCTCTAGTTCTCCGATCTCATTGTCCCTCTCAATAGTTATGAACTTCTCCTCTACACTAATCTATATACTTTAATTTTTTTTCCATTATTGCCTGCATTAAATTATATTGTGATTACCTGTTTATATGCCTGCCTCCACTTCTAGACTAAAGTTCCTGGTAGAAAGGGACCATCTTCACTTTTAATCACTAGGGCCTAGCCCAGTTCCTACCTATAAGATACCAAAATATGTTCTTAAATGTGACAGCTAACATTTACTGAGCACCAGTATGTGCCAGGTACTAGACCACAGGTTTTATATAAGTCCTTTAATTTTTATGAATGAATGACATGCCAAAGACACAAATAATACTCTTGTTAGAAGTTTTCTTCAACAAACCTCAACTTGGCACTCTCCAACAGAAATATAATGTAAGTCACACATTAATTTTAAATTTTCTAGTAGTTACATTTTTTACAAAGTAAAAAGAAACAGGTGAAACTAATTTTATATTTTATTTAACCCAACACATCCAAAATATTATCATTTCAACATGTAATTAATATAAAAAATGAGATACTTGGCCAGGCGCAGTGGCTCACTCCTATACTACCAGCACTTTGGGAGGTCAAAGCAGGTGGATCACAAGGTTAGGAGTTCAAGATCAGCCTGGCCAATATGGTAAAAACTTGTCTCTACTAAAAATACAAAAATTGGCTTGGCATGGTGGTGTGCACCTGTAGTCCCAGTTACTTGGGAGGCTGAGGCAGGAGAATCACTTGAACCCGGGAGGCGGAGGTTGCAGTGAGCCAAGATCACGCCACTGCACTCCAGCCTGGGCAACAGAGTGAGACTCCGTCTCAAAAAAAAAAAAAAAATACTTTACATTCCTTTTTTCTAAGCCTTTTCTTACGAAATCTTCAAAATCCACTATATATTTTATACACAGAACACATGTCAACTTGGACTAGCACACTTCAAGTGTTTATTAATAACCACACGTGGCTAGCAGCTACCATATTAGAAGTCTTAAATCAGGGCATCTTCAAGATGAAAAAGGCCTTAAGAGGCCGGGCACGGTGGCTCACACCTGTAATCCCAGCACTTTGGGAGGCCAACGTGGGTGGATCACGAGGTCAGGAGATCAAGACCACATCCTGGCTAACACAGTGAAACCCCGTCTCTACTAAAAAGATTTAAAAAAAAAACTAGCTGGGCATGGTGGTGTGCACCTGTAGTCCCAGCTACTCGGGAGTCTGAGGCAGGAGAATCGCCTGAATCCGGGAGGCAGAGGTGCAGTGAGGTGAGATCGTGCCACTGCACTACGGCCTGGGTGACAGAGCAAGACTCTATCTCAAAAAAAAAAAAAAAAGGCCTTAGAGAAGTAAAGAAAAAAATGCCAAGTTTTAATGGGCTTTTATGCAGGATACAAAATGGGAGAAAGAAGAATTAAGTGGGATTCAGATGCCTACTGCTATTCTTCAACTAATTAGCATCCAATTTAATTCAATACACTTTGATCAGCTACCAACAATATACGTGACCTGATACTTGGTGCTAGGAACAAATAAGACCCCATTCCTTGCCTTCCAGGACTTGAGTGTTTTGTCAAATCCACTGAGAAGACAAGTCTCTAAAACAACTAAAACATGTTACCAAAAAGATACATATAAAATCTGACTATAACAAAGATAAGAGAACATGCTTTCCATTCCTGTATTATGCAGAAATAGTGAAAAATATCCCATTCCCTTCTCTACCCTTCGGTTAGTGTCAAAACTGGGGTAATAGTTCAGTAAGATATATATTGATTTGCTCCTTGCAGTCCAGAGTTCCTTTTGGAATTACAAAATGATATTTCTGCTGCCCTATCATAAAGATGACTGTTTTCATCTTTATGACTGTTTCAGATAAACCAGTGCTTTCCTTAGCTGAAAATGTCTAAATTAAACATGAGATTCAAAAACATTTCTAACTTACTATTCAAGCTGTTTAGTCTGCAATAATCAACTACCTAACTCAGAACTGATTTAAGTGACATGTATTAAGATGCTCCATAATTAAATTTTTTGATAAAAAATTCTGGAAAAATTTTCCACAGACATTTAACACTTTCTATTAATAATATTAAGTAAATCAGTTACCTCTGAGAGAGATGCATCAACTTTGGAAGAAATTTTCAGGTCTAGCCATGGCTGGTAGTTTTCAAGTAGCAAAGAAGGCCTAAAGAAAAATTATACAACTAAATCACTTGAAATCCAATGTAATTAGAAGGATCAACAAATTAAAAAAATTTAACTTACCTATGTCGTTTACATTTCACTTTACCACAAACAGCACAGCTATGACCTTGAGGAAATAATTCCTGAAGTCCTAACTGCTAAAAAAGGAAAATGAGAGGTGGTGGGGAGATCTGTCTTTACATATCATCTTTATTTAAAAGAATCAACTTTTCAGAAGTTTTTAAAATCAATGTATAAATTCAAAGAACATTTTCTGTCTACTTTAACAGTGAAACCTTTCTTTGTAATACATAATACTGGCTAAACTAAACTGTCAGAGAAAAAAATACCACATGAAATGCCTTATAATACCTAACCCAAATTTCCAAGTTTAAAGTTAAAATCAATTTTTATGATCACTTTAAAAAGCTTCAGTCTACATTTGAAAGTGATAACTTGGCCAGGCACAGTGGCTCACACCTATCATCCTAGCACTCTGGGAGACCAAGGCAGGTGGATGGCTTGAGCCCAGAAGTTTGAGGCCAGCCTAGGAAACATGGTAAAACACTGTCTCTACCAAAAAAAAAATTAGACAGGTGTAGTGGCACATGCCTATAGTCCCAGCTACCCAGGAGGCTGAGGCAGGAGGATCTCCTGAGCTCAATAATTTGAGGCTGCAGTAAGCTGTGATCCTGCCGCTGCACTCTAGCCTGTGCAACTCTAGCCTGTCTCAATAAAGGAAAGAAAAAAGAAAGTGACACTCTACTGCAAAGGTATAATACGAAAAAACTATTTTCTCTTTCTCCAAAATCTTGAATTCAATGACAAAGGTACGAGGTAACTACTACGGTTCCTGATCAAATATGGGGCACCACTTTCAGTTGTGTTTCCTCTGAGTAGAAATACCAACAAACCCAAGACAAGATACTATATCAACTTAAAGAATTATTAAGACTTAAAGATATCCCACTAGGCCAGGTGCAGTGGATCATGCCTGTAATCCTAACACTTCGGGAGGCCAAGGCAAGTGGATCACCTGAGGTCAGGAGTTTGAGACCAGCCTGGCAAAAATGGTGAAACCCCGTCTCTACTAAAAATACAAAAATTAGCTGGGCGTGGTGGCATGTGCCTGTAATCCCAGTTACACAGAAGGCTGAGAGGCAGGAGAATCACTTGAACCTGGGAGGCAGAGGTTGCAGTGAACCAAAATGGCACCACTGCACTCCAGCCTGGGTGACACAGCAAGACTCCATCTCAAAAAAAAAAAAAAGAAAGAAAAAGAAAAAGATATCCCACTAAACCCTAATCTACAGACCAGAACCTTGCTTTACAGAGAGAGATTCACCACATTACCACTCTTCATTAAATTTCAGAAATAAATTACTTTGGTTATACAAACTGCCTAATTATATCTCTGTTTCTATGAAGCACACAAGCATTTAAGAATTTAACAGGATTAGATCATTTAACCCAGAATTTCCTGAGTCTGTGCCTCAGAATGAGCTGGAAAGCTTCTAACAAGTACTGATAACAAGGCTTTAACCCAGAACTATTCAATCAAAATCTGGTGGTACACCCCAGGAATCTGTTAATTCCCTTGGAGATTTACTGTAAAACCAGCTTTGTGAACCTCTGATTTAATTTATTGTCCTGATGGTTAATAGAGGACACCCTAAAATTGTGGATTCCAACTTTCTGAAACTTTTGTACAATAATTTCTCTTTATAGCTCCTCTAGGAGAACTGTATGCCTTAAAAGCATACACATATACAAATCTTATTTTGAAAATTTTCTAATGGACTTCCATTATTAAATAATTAGATGGATTTTTTTAAATCACTGATTTTAGCACAGTACCTAGAAAAAAAAAAGGGAAGAAATTAAAAGAAAATTTTTGTAAATTACAAAAATACACTGCTTTAGCTGGCTTTCAAATAATAAACAGCTTAGGCTCATACACATTGATCACATTGATTCTTAACAATAAGAACACATAATTTTACCTTGGGTTTGTATTTTATTGTGAAGAAAATATTTGGTAAGAGAGAATCAGGTCCTAGTGAGCAGTAGAATGTGACAACTCCAGCAACAAATGACCAGAAGATCATTAAAACATGAATATACCTTAAAAATAAATGAAAATAATTATTAGAACCAAAGAAAATGCATAATTCTAAGTTACTGAGTCACTGATTTAACAAGCATTCATTAAGCACCTACAATATCAGATTGAAGCAATTTTTCCAATTATGATTAATTTTCTGTAATGTATTAAATACAAGAATCATAAAATGTATGCTATCAAATATATATTTCATTTAAAGTATAAGGAAGAATAAATGATCACTATTTCATAACTGGTACCTATGTTTAACTAATCTATACTACACTCTTCCAGAATACCTTCTGATGATATTGTAGTATTCATATCCCACCAAAATTCTGATTATTTTTCACTGAATCAACAAAATTTTACTAAGTATTACCTATTTTGTTCTAGACAGAGGTAGGCCTTGGGAATATAGTAAAGAACTGCACTGCATATAGTCTCTACCTGCATGGAAAACACTGCCTAGTAATGGTGACACGTAAGTAAAAATAAGCACAATACTATGTGATCACATATGTGATATTACAACAGAAAATTTATATGATATGGGAATACCACAGGCTGATTAACAAATTTGAAAAGAACAGAAAAATTTTTTTCAGAGAAAGCAATATCTACAGAAAAACTTAAAGGGTAAGTAGGAGCAAATAAACAGAAGAGGATAGGATAGAGGTATGTGGAGAAGAGGCAGGGGAATTCAAACTTGAGAGAAAAACATGGGCTTAGGTCTGTGTGAGCACAGTTCCAAGGAAGAAGGCCTTAAGATGAATCTAAAAGCAAAAGCAGAAGCCAAATAATACAGTGTTATATAATAGGCAATGTGTGTCTTAATACAGGCAATCCTCACATTGCAGTTCTGATATGCAAAAATTTCAGATACCATGATTGTACTAAATAACACCAGTCCCCCACAACACAGTTCAAATGCCAATGACCACAGTATTATATATTAAACTATGAGTAATTGTATAAAGTACAAACTCTGCTGCTAACTCATCAGTCCACAAATCACTATATAAATAACAGATGTGCATCATGATCAGTGACCAATCACATCGGTTCTGTCAGTGACAGGTCACTCACTGCAAATTGGTGTTCTTCAGTGCATGCACAGACAGGAAACCATGGAGTTGTGTTACCTCCTTGTCTCCCAATAATAAATCTGGAATACATTTTACAAAAATGGCCATTGGCCCACAAATATTAAAGAGAAACAAAGAAATGAATAGTGATAATGCAAGAAGTAAAATTCAAATCAAATGTAAATGAAGTTACAGAAGAAATAGTTGACTGTGGGAATGATGACAGTGCTGCTGTTCCACAGATTCTATGCAGCCAGAGAAAGGTAGTGAACTTACTGACATCAATGAGAAGAGTGGTTGTGGCACAAGGATGAAAATGTCCCAGAAGAAGTGATACCAGCAAAGGAACTCTTGGAGATTTCACAACATTGGATAAAACACTGAAAGTTGATCCAAACTTAGGAGTATGGTAATTCACATATGCATGAAAAAGATATCCGCTCCATATCCCATGTTATCAGATGAGAAGAGGACAAACACTGTTTAAGTTACTCTTAATATATTTTTTACAAAGAAATAAAACACTTTAATTTTCAATGTTTCTAATGTTTAAAATTACAGTGTACTACTCACTTTACTATTTTTTAATTTCTCTATACTATTACAACTGACAATGAGAGTTCTCAATGTTTTGACAAAATTTTTTAAAACTCAATCATAATTTTCCCATTGATTAAAACCATTTTGCACAGTTTCTGCTTGCACAATCGTTTTTACAGACCCTCATTACCAGACAAAGCAGGGACTGCCCGTATTATCTTACAAGAAAATGCACTGTAGGGATCTAATAATTTGTAGCTTCAGTAGAGACTACCATCTCTTCTGCAAAGTGTTCTTTCTTTACACTCTCTATTCATGAAATTTAAATAGGAACAAGAGCTTTTATCTCCTTAAGATTCTAGGCCGGGCGCGGTGGCTCAGGCCTGTAATCCCAGCACTTTGGGAAGCCGAGATGGGCGGATCACGAGGTCAGGAGATCAAGACCATCCTGGCTAACACGGTGAAACCCCGTCTCTACTAAAAAAAAAAAAATACAAAAAACTAGCCGGGCGTGGTGGCGGCGCCTGTAGTCCCAGCTACTCGGGAGGCTGAGGCAGGAGAATGGCGGGAACCCGGGAAGCGGAGCTTACAGTGAGCTGAGATCGCACCACTGCACTCCAGCCCAGGCGACAGAGCGAGACTCTGTCTCGAAAAAAAAAAAAAGATTCTATCTCCCTCACCCAAGACCGGATTAAGAATAGACAAAATGACAACAACAACAAAATAGGCCAATCACAGCATCTTCTTCCCTACCTACAGCTGACTGGTTCAGCGATGGACACCATCTGAAACAACCTGGTAGGTAACAGACATTTTAAACAGAGTAAATTGCATGAACTGGGGTCCAACCAGTCTCACTCATCTCATGATAGTAGAAATGTGAAGCTGTAATAAAACTGACAGCCATATGCTTTGTCACTTAAAGGAAAGAGGAGTGAGAAGAGAATGATGCCAGAATTCAGAGAGGAGGAGAAAAAGGAAGGGGAAGAAAGTATTAGCAGTATTCCAAATCCTGCTTCCATGTGTTTCTGGGGCCCAGCTACACTCCAGTTATTTCTGCACTTACAAAACCTTCCAAGGCTTGCCCTTTGTTAAACCTAGCATGAGCTGAGTTTCTGTTATCTACCATCAAGAGTAATACCTATGAGACAATGAAAAGATTTAAGAAGATTTTAAAGAATTCTCAAGAGTTGTCAGGAGGATATCATTAGATTAAATAATAGGAAGACCACTCTGGCTGAAATATGGAGAATGGCCTAGACCGGAAACACACAGGCTAGTTAGAAAACTGTTGCAGTAATCTATGAGAGTCAGTGATGGTCTAAACTAGGAAAGAGACTTAGAGATCTTAAAAAGTGAATTATTTTGAGAGACACTGGGAGGAAAAATTAAGAGGATTAAGTAGTTGATTAGATGTGAGCAGAAGGGGCCAGGTACAGTAACTCATACCTGTAATCCTAACACTCTGGGAGGCCAAGGCAGGCAGATCACTTGAGGTCAGGAGTTTGAGACCAGCCTGGCCAACATGGTGAAACCCCATCTCTACTAAAAATAAAAATAAAAATAAAAATTAGCTGGGCATGGTGGCGCATGCCTGTAATCCCAGCTACTACGGAAGCTGAGGCAGGAGAATCACTTGAACCTGGGAGGTGGAGGCTGCAGTAAGCCGAGATCACGCCACTGCACTCTGGCTGGGCAATAGAGCGAGACTACGTCTAAATAAATAAATACATAAATAAAGTAAGCAGAAGAGAAAGATGAAAAATCAGTTCTCTTTGGACATGTTAAGTTCCAGGTATTTTAAAACATGCTATACAGAAATGTTCCACAAGCACCTAAATATTGGGTAGTCTCAATCTCTGGAGAGAATATGGGCTAAGGATAAAGATTTAGAAATTATCAACATAAATATCACTGAAACCATAGGAATAAATGACATGACCCAGGGAGAATCTACAGAGTTAAAAAAGAAATGAGCATAAGATATTTAAGAACTAGGCAGAGGAAAAGAAATTTATAAAGGAATCAAGCAATTAGAAGAGTTGGAAAGAAAACCAAGGGTCAAGTCACAAAAACTGGCAAGGTCAAAAACAAACAAACAAACAAACAAACAAACAAAAAACTCTACAGAAATGAAGTGGACAACATGACCAAATGTTTGTAAAATAAAGATTGAGAGGTGCCCATTCGTTTTCACGATAAAAGAGGCACTGATTAACTAGGTAAAAACAATTTTAGAATGGCAAAGGGCTACAACAGATTGAGGAGTGACATGGAAGTGAGGAAGCAGGATTGGTAAATGTAGATAATTCTCTTTCTAAATAAAAGGAGAGCTAACACAGTAACTGGAGGGGGACAATAAGTTAAGGTTTTTGGTTAAAAACCTGATGACATTTAAATGGTGATATAGGAGAAAAGGAGGCAAGAGGGAAAGAAGTAGAAAAACAGAAATAATTGGGTGAATAATATCTTATACAAGATAGGAGTTGTTAGGATCCAGAATCTAAATGGAAGAAACAGTTATAAATTATAGAGCTATCTGTTTCCCAATACTACACAGGATGCATAGAAGAATGAATATGCAGTTACATTTATAGATTTGGTAACAAGAATTAAAAGCCATATAATGGCTTTTAAATAAAACAGGAGATCCTGAGAGTAAATGACAAAGGTAGCATGACAGGGAGTAAATAACAGAGGTTCTAGAAGACGGGGGAAATTCTGACACAGTTGCCACGGAGAAGGGAAGAGAAGTTCCTGGGGAACTGCTGGACATTACTGAGGCTGAACACAATGAACTTTCAGTTGTGGGATCTTTTCCACCAATATTCAGTTTTCAGAATATGAACCTAAAAAAAGCAAACAGCATTACTGATCCCAGATTTGGATTTTGACAGATGAGTAGAATGGAAGGTATGGAGTTAAGGATACTGCATGAAGCGACTGATGGACCAGGCTATGTATCTAAGCTAGACTGACTCTAAACTGCATCAGAAAGTAACTAACAACAGAAGAGGGACAACATATAGAAAGAAAGTAGAGTCAAGAGATTGAAATGTCAAGAAGCAGGGACAGTGTGACTGACTAAATGAAAGAAGTTGACACTGGTGAGTAAGTGACATATTTGATTCTTAAGATTTCAGAGGTAGCCAGGCACAGTGGCTCACGCCTATAATCCTAGCACTTTGGGAGGCTGAGGTGGGCAGATCACCTGAGGTCAGGAGTTCGAGACCAGCCTGGTCAACGTGGTAAAATCACATCTCTACTAAAAGTACAAAAAAATTAGCCGGGCATGGTGGTGTGTGCCTGTAATCCCAGCTACTCCAGAGGCTGAGGCAGGAGAATCATTTGAACCCGGGAGGCGGAGGTTGCAGTGAACCAAGATCACACCA